CTCAAAATTTTATCAAACTTTTATCAATTAGCTAACCGCAATTTATTGTATAAATTGCCTATTATATTCCGAGCCGAAAAAGAACTTTCAATCTATCTTAATTTATGTGTACTTCCATCAACAATGATGTCTTAATTCTTGTTTTGCCCGTATATCCCATTCACAAATTTTCCGATATTTTAATCCATGAAAATTTTCGCATTTAATCCACAAATATCTGGAGGAAATGCTACTGGCTCAGGTACTTCAGCTAAGAAAATGTAGCACCATATCTCCTCTAATTCGTATGAATATCTATAACCCTCATTATAACAAAAACCAAGTTTTTGTAAAAATTCCAATGTCTTTTAATCCTAAAAAATAGCTCTATGTATATCTTCAAGTAGCTATGTATATCTTTATTAAATTAAATTTTATGATGCCGTTCCATCAATTAAAAAAAAATTCACAAACAACTTCCCATCATTCTTTAAAAGCTTATCAAACTTACTCTTCTCACTCTCTAAATTCAGTTTTTTCCTAAGGAAAACTGCAAAAAAAACTTCCATGAATGATCTCAAACCATGAAACTCGACCTCCATGTCTCTTGAAACATATGAGAATTAATCAATAAATCCCTAATCTCAAATCCATCAACAAACACCTCGCTCAGTCTGTCTTTTTCCTCGATCTTCGCCGTCTTGGCCAAATCCGGCACGGAGTTGCAAATCAACAGATAATTGATGAAAACTGGTTGTCTGTTGGCTAAACTTGATTGAGACTGCAAACGACAAACAATTGATGTTGGAAAAACAACATCAAACTCCGGTACCATCACAACTCCATGACGCAGACAATATTTCTGCACTAAAAGTCCTGCGGTCGTAACTGAGGTTTGCCTTTCTTCTCTTTTTCTCAGATCTTAATTCCAATTTCGCATTCATGTTTGTGGAAAACCTATAGATTCACATTCTCTTTCAAAGTGATTGTAAGAACTAAAATTTTTGCAAAAAGTATCTCCCATCTCCATGATTGCATCAAATTATTAGGACAAAATGCAATCAAGCTAATTGTCCTTGAATCATCTGATGTGGAAAGATCATGAATTACAACAAAATTCCAAAACGCGGATTTGTGTTGTTGCAAAATAATTGACTTGCTTCTTCTTTTTTTTTATTTTATTTTTATACTCAATCAGGTTTTGGATTAATGTTATAAGCTTAAAGCTAGAATCCTAAGTCAGAACGTTTCCATGATGACCATTTTTCTCCAAGAAATTTTTTGCCATGACCTACGCTACCATCTTTCAAATTCATCTGTTCTCGGAGTTGTCCATCTGTTGCTGCAAAAAAAGTACTCCCTCCGTCCCATAATTATTGTCCAGTTTTACTAAAAAGGAAGATTTTATTTTTGGTCATATTTAATTATATTTTACCTTAAACAACCGGATATACCCCTACATAAGTAATTGTTTAACCATTAAGATTTTATGGATAATGTTTTTTTACTAAGGATAAATGTGTAACTTGATCAATAAAAAGTCAAATTGGACAATAATTTTGGGACAAAATTTTTTAGGCAAAGTAGACAATAATTATGGGACGGAGGGAGTAAGTTCTTCCTGTGGTTGTCAAAGCTATCTCTTGTTGGTTTTAGATTTAGATTCAGTTGAAGAAACAACACAAGAATGTAAACTAATCTATAGACATATATATAATTAGGGAAAGTGGTGTTGTCCAAAGTTGACAGAATGTTATTCTTATAAAACCCAGAACAAAGTTATGATGTTTCCCTTTTTGCAATGAATATGCAAAATTAGAAAATTTACTCATAACTCTATTATGTAATTTCTCTCCTCTTGGCTTTTGTGTTTAACATTTATACTTACTATAGCAACTATCGTTCTGAAACACATAGCAAAATACTAATACATATGAAGATTTGATTGCGAAAAATTGTTACATAAGTATTTATTTAAAATTAAAATTATGATGTATCAAAAAAGGTATATATTGTTCAATTACATACCCATGCGAGTGCACGAGTTCAGAACCTAGTATGCGTTACTGTATACTGTTTTGAACGACACGAGTAATGTTGTTCCATTTACCACAGCTTCCCATTTCATATGCCTATATAGAAAAGCAACCATTTAATGCTATCATGATGTTTACCACACGCAATGGTACGTAGTTACCCTCAATTGCTAAAGACCGTTTCGGTGAAGTGTGTAACGCTGTGACAGTTGGTGATGTGTGTTACATTCCATTTAACACTGGTTTGTGTAGACATGGCAACACATGAACAGATTTAGAATATTATTTTTTTCCGGTACAAAAATTTAAAAGCAAGATTTTTCTCTACTAGTTGTTGATAGTAATAATAGTATCACAATATATCTATTTATTATTATTATCTTTGTTGTTACAAAAAAAAATTCTTAGATCACGTTGATTATTATTATTATTTATTATTATTATTATTAGGAATGGAGAGGAGTACTATAATTAATTAATATAATATAATAATAGAATTTACATAATTAACATTAGTATTTTCGGAAGGAAAAAAAAAGAGTGCAAGGATAAAAGTGTCCAAAAAAAACTATTAGGTAGTTCAAATCCGCAGGCAACCTCATCATCCGAAACCGAAACTGAAATTTTCATTTTTCTGTTTTATTTTGTCTCTCTACATCTGAATTCCAAGCTCTCTATAAACACACCAGAAAAGCTCTTGTTGATTCGTTGTTCTCATCATCCAACAAAGGCAACGTGGGGTTCGGTCCAGACAGACGTCGTGATTGGCGTTGCTTGTGATTTGTATGTTTTTGTTGTCCAATTTTGTTGATTTTCCGGTGAATAATCCTAATCATCATCAAATTCGCCAGATCTCCTTCCTTTTGTTTTCGCAGGGTTTACTGTAGTCACACTGAGAGAAAGAGGCTCGGCATGGACCCCTACCCACTTGGAACTGGACGTTACTTCGGCGCCAGAAAGCAGGAGGGCGGCGGAAAGCAGACCGGTCGCGGACGCAGCGGTGGAAATTAGGGTTTCAGAATTTGGGTGGTGGGGTATTCAGAATTTGGGTCCTACGATGATGAATGAGTACGATGTACTTGTCTCTATCACCTTTTTCTTTTTCCTTTTTTGATATTTTTGTTCTTTTTCGAAAGAAATTTCACCACGTAACGTTTGAACATTTGGCACACACAATTAATTCCCCTATTTGTTGTTGTAGTGTAATCTGTATTGAGTGGAAATATACACACAATTGATGCAAAAAGAAAAAGTGCAATGCTTCTAATTCTAAACTCCCTTTTTCGGAATTCATTTGGATGGATGGATGATGATGATGATGATGATGATGATGTGGTAATCCAAATCTATTAAAATTGTGTAATTTGTAACCGATAAACATACCCGGTTTTGCACTAGACCAGTAGAATACAAAGAGAGAAGATAAGGGATGCCACTTGTTTCCCTTTTTTTTTCGAAAAAAAAATACGCATTACACTCTACCATCCGGGAAAGAAAAAGAAGAAGAAATTCGTTGCTACTGCCATTATGTTTAACAAAGTATAAAATTTTTCTGGAGCGCAAGTGTTTTACTCATCACTAATATATTATTACCTCCGTCCCAAAAAAATAAATAAATAAATAGTCCACGTTGAGTTTTTAAATTTGTACAAAAATTCAATATCGATTATTTTTGTTGGGACGGAGGGAGTAATTCATGAGTATTATAACCTATAACACATATTTGTATATTGTTAATAACAAAATCTGATGAAAAAGTGGAATATCAATCTTCATATTGAAGCAAAAAATTCTTAGATGTCTGATCTAAACTATGAATTAACCTAAGAAAGGTACAAAGAGAATTATTGCCATTGGAAGTATTAGAGAATTATTATCTAAGTAGTATTAGAAAGGAAGGAAAACATCTTTGATGGTAACAAAAAAGAAAAGGGCTGAGACGACTACGTTACATTTATACGAATGCTAGTCGTCTGCGTAAGAGAACGGGCACCGCTTTTGACGTTTCAAATTGAGGACTATTCCATAGACGGAAACTATAAATTGGAAAAAAAAATAAGGTGCCAAAATTATTGATGTAGTTGTAGTAATATCTATGTTAGACATTTTTCTAAAAAGAGGTTGAAGACATTTCTTAGATTTCAAACTCGATCATATATGACCAACTGCAACGGTGGGGCTCCATTCGAAGCTATAGACTAGTGGTACATTATTAGGATTTTTTCTAAGGCAGATCTTTGTTGCATTTGTTCTAAATTAGATTATCTACAATTTTTCAGGAGGCCAGGTAATCAAAGATTCCCCTTTTATTGGTGATAATACTAACTGGAAGTATTGCTTGACATGATCATTCGACAATCTTAAAATTTGTTTGCAACTTTGCATTCCAATCTTGTAATGTTTTGCATGATATCATCTGGGTTATTGCTCCTATTGTCCTCGAACAAATTTGTCAATTCATAATTTGATAAATTGTTTCTCTTTATTGCTTTAGGGAAGTTGGATTTGGATTCTCACTTGTAAGGTAAAGGTTTTTTCTGGGGTGGTTAGCCTGGGGGGAGTATGTGAAAGAAGAGAATTTGGGATTATAAATTCAACTACTGGTGATCTCTGCCTCACTAACCTGCAACCTGAAAGAGATTGTTAAATTTGTTCTATTGACATTCTTATCTTCTCCTTTTCCCACCATACTCAATCTGTGAGTGAGGCTGCAAATTGCTCCTTGTCCAAGCATTCACATAAGCAGCAAGCATGGTTAAATCTTATGTTCCTTTGTTTTGATCTTTTTTGCCTCAGGAATTTCAGTTAATACTTCCACTTATTAGATAAACTTCTCTTGCTGGACTGTGGATTACTGAAGCAAATATGATACCATGAAGCTTTTCTTCGGTGTTCTGTGCCTTTTCCGGTTGCCTTTTGATGTTGAGTTTGACGTGATCCTAATTGTTTGTTTCCGGCCCGTTTGTCTAACTAGGGAGATCAACCATGGGACAAGCTTTAGGATGCATTCAAGTAGATCAGTCCAAGGTAGCAATCAAAGAAAATTTCGGGAAGTTTAACGATGTCCTTGAGCCTGGTTTTCACTGCATGCCCTGGTGTATAGGGAGCCAAGTTGCAGGCTACCTGACGTTGCGAGTGCAGCAACTAGACGTTAGATGCCAAACCAAGACAAAGGTTGGTCAGCTCAGTACTTGCAATTTTGTTGTAGCCTTGCATTTGTTCTAAAGCTTTTCCAGTCTATCATCTGACTTATATCATGTCAAGTGGATGTAGTAGCAATGGATTTGTATATATCTTTACTGTAGAATCTAAATGAGTTTGCTTATTAGACAAAATCGTGAATAAAAACCACTAGTCTCATACTCATTAGAGATTCTGGACCTCATTCTTTATCTTTCTCTTTGAAAGCAGTATCTTGTTCTATAGAGCAAATGTTTACAGCTTTAACTCTTTGTAGGTTTTATTGTTTATTTTCAATAGCAAAAGTCTAATCATCTACTCTGAGACTTGAAATTGGAAGATAGAAGAATAAATTAGGAGATGGAATTGTCCTTCAGCTTGAAATAATATTGTATGAATTTTGTTAAGAAAATGGAACTTTTCAATATTGATCTTTCAGGATAATGTCTTCGTCATAGCGGTTGCTTCGGTTCAGTATCGAGCCTTAGCTGACAAAGCTGAAGACGCATTCTATAAGCTCAGCAATACCAGGGAGCAGATGAATTGTCCTTCATCATGAAGTGGTGCTTTCTTCCACACCTTTCTGCATGAAAGTGTTCTTTTGCCCTTCAGCTCTTTCGAATCTTATCTGTGATTTGGCAAGTCTGATTATAGTATTTTTTTTTCACCTGTTAATCTTGTTTCAGCATTTTATTATTCCCCCAGAACTTCAATATCAGCCCCGACTTTGGATCATGTACTGATCGTTAAACTTTGTACTTTCTTGCTTAATTGTGACTGTTCAGTTGTCAGGGCAAGTGTACCAAAGTTGGAGCTTGAGAATGTCTTCGAGCAAAAAACTGAAATTGCTAAAGCAGTGGAAAATGAGCTCGAAAAGGCAAGTTTATGTTTGTCTTTGCTTTTATGAAGGGTAAATTTGTAAAATATAACTCTTCCCTTATTGATCTTTCTTTTGAATGGTTAGGCCATGTCTCATTATGGTTATGAAATAGTCCAGACACTCATCGTAGATATAGAACCAGACGAGCAAGTTAAAAGGGCAATGAATGAGATAAATGCAGGTATTGGTCTGTAATCTTATCATGAATTTTACATTTTATCCATCAATGTGACAGAATTCAGTTCAGTTTTTCTAACCAAGTAAATGGATGATTCTGCCATGTGAACATGCTTTATAAGATCTCTAACTCGGGGTGTATATGGGAGTCTGCTGCAAAACTGTTTTCGCCCTGGAAAATGAATTCTCTTGTTACTCTTGCAAATAGCTTCAAGAATGAGGGTAGCTGCAAATGAGAAGGCGAGGCTGAGAAGATATGATGTCTTCCTTCAGCCTAATTCATGTATGAAACGAGTTGATTTTTCATTGTTGTGGGGAACTTGATATCTTTGTGTCATAGCAATTACGTTCGGATCTCACATAGCTGTTCTGCTTTTGTCTTAAGCTTTTGTGTAGAAGGTATATTGTTTAACATTAAACCTATAGGAAGGTAGCCTTCAATGAAGTAATTGTATTGTTTGTAACTTAGATTCGTAAATCGTCATGTGTAACTTAGATTCGTAAATCGTCACGTGTTTCAACATCAAGTTAAGGCCTTTTTATTGTCTCATCATCTTGCTTTGTGTTTGTAGGAAATAATTAGGAAACATACCGATATATCAGATGGGATTGTTTAGCATCTTTTGCAGATTGTTAGATGGGATTGACTTTGATATTGAGGGAGGAACCACTCAATATTGGGATGTTCTAGCTGAATCTCTTTCTGCTTAGAAGCACTCCCCGAAAGATGGCATGGAGCATCTTAGTGCCCTTATCCTGTGATGCAATGGTTGGCGGTGCCCTTCAAACAGGTCTTTTCGACTATGTTTGGGTTCAATTCTATAACAATGCTCCATGCCAGTTCTCTGCTGGAGACCCAAGCAGTCTCCTCACTGCATGGAAGCAATGGACTTGGATCCCGGCTGGCAAGATCTTCCTTGGGTTACCTGCTGCTCCAGCTGCAGCAGGAAGTGGATTCATTCCTGCCGCAGATTTGATCTCGAAAGTGCTTCCCCAAATTAAACGCTCAAGCAAGTATGGAGGTGTTTTGTTCTGGTCTAGGGATTATGATGTGCTAAGTGGCTATAGAAAATCCATCAAGAATCGAGCTCTCTTTTTTTTTTTTTACCATCAGTTGGTCTATGAACAATGTTATGTGCCCAATATGTTCTGTGGAGTGAAATATGTGTATCAAAGAAATCTTGTGTCCTTTTCTTTTCCCCAACTGAATAGAGTTGATTAAAATCTTCAGGCCGGTTAAGAAGATCATATAACTTAACAAATTATGTCATCGCAATCGCTGATACCAAAACACTGATTCAATCAACAAGGAAAGACATTGACACCAATATTAAGTAGGACAGAAAACAAAAATATCAGCTGGTTTAATCCGAATCAACATTAATACATAAGCATTTTCATGTTTCTCACTGTCACATCAAATTTTATATCAGGGACAATGTTAGTTGCGTATGACAAGGACAAGAAGTTGATAAACTAGGTTGTTTATAGCTCGCTTTTGATAGCACAAGTAAACTACTCGGTATGCTTGGGAATTTCACCTTTTCACAGACGTGATAGGGAATACTCAGCAGCATCAGAAAGGTGTTAAATGTTGTGGAGGGGTCGTTCTTCAGCACCCAACATGACACATTGACACGAACTTCGGCTTTCTTAGCCAAATTCAAAGGCAAAGCAGGAGAGTTGAGGCTCCTTAAAATCTGTCTATACAATGAAACTGCTCTTCCTCTGTTCCTTGCTAAGTCCTCCGCAGTAGCCCATATCAAACCCTTTGCCATACAATCAAACTGACAAATCAAATGTGTTCCTGCCCAAGAGAAAGGACATTATTAACATGGGCATTTTAACAAACAGATCATGTGCAAAATTCAAGATACAACTTAATCAATTGTTCAACACCAAATAGAGTCCTTGCTGAATGTATGAATAATATTCGCCCACAAGAAAACAAGATAGAATATTGGAAGCCGTGATTGAGAAAGAGTCGGTCTTATTTGACAAGCACATAAGCAATCCAAAGGAACTGGTGCGAGATGAGTGGAAGGGTTCAAATTACGGCAGGTGGGAGATGGTTTTGGGGTGGTCATGTCAAGGACTACCTTGACGTACTCAAGCAAGTGAGAAATGGATCACAATCAGGATGCACATAGAAGACAGAGAATTGTTGATTGGATTAATAATGCCACCGGTGGAAGTGCTCCAGTGCATTTGATGTGACAACCAAATGAGTTCTTCACGCAGTAAGTATCTCGTAGATCTTTGATTGCACCCGTCACTCCCCAATTTATTCATTCATGGCTCATTCACTCTTGATCTTCAATGTCTAGGCACTTGAAAGTTGTCTAGAAATTGGATATAGTACTGTAAACTAGAACCATTGTTTTATGTTCAAGGAGAAGAGGCAGTTCCGCTGCATTGTTTTTTTTTTTTTTTTTTTGAAAATCGATCCCTTAATAATATCTCCAAGTCTTTATTTTTCGAAATTGAAAAACATTTTCGATCGAGCCAATCGGCGGGAATTCCAAAAGTCATTCTTCCTACAGCTATTTTCTAGGAGTAAAATCTCGTAGGTTTTGGGCGGCGAAGATGAGGGTTTTTACATGTGGTAGGTTATCATGGGAGCTTTCATGCTAAACACTTGGAAATGCTTTGCCATCCTTTGGACTACTTTAAGATGATGTCCTGAGATTGAGTAGCGGGGATTCATCGACCAACTCCAATTCTTCTTCTTTTGCGGGGATAAAATCTTATGAGAAATATGTTGTAATACAGTTTCCAGTTTAGAAATTCACTGTAAATTGGGTTTTGCATCTTTATGAGGCAACTTTTTGAAAACAAAAATACAATTAATTTTCAGATCAGCTGAAGCCAAACCACCCAATTCTTGATTAGCCGGAATATAATACAGCGCAATTATTAATTGTGGTTAGCTAATTGATAAAAGTTCGATAAAATTTTTTTTAGAGAATTTCAGAGAATCCAAATGGAGTGAGTCCTCTAATTTTACTCCTTTTTTTTTTTTTTCCAATCTCCATTCAAAATATCTCCCCCTATAATAATAATTTACCCAATAGTAAGCTCAAAATACTCCACAATACATACAAAGTTACAAACCATAGATGATAGATTCCCAGAGCCGAATTTTAATCATGAAATTCAAGACCATAACATCAATCGCACAGCATCAAAAACGATAATGTACAATAAAAATTGACGGAAATACCACAAAGGAGCAAAATAATCCCAATAATAACTACTTAATTAAACAAGCGCATCGTCCCAACGGAAGTTACAGATCCACACTACCGTATTAATTATTACATAATAAAAGTCCGGGATTCTTCAACAAAAGCTACAGATCCACATAGATCTATACCATAGATATAACATATTAGAGGGAGGTGAAGAAATTAAAAGGAAACCCGAAACCCTAATTTCCCCCCACCCGACCGCCGCCGCAGCCCTAATTTCCTCCGCTCTGCTTTTCCCCGCGGAAACCTTTTGCTCCAAAAAAAGAGAAGCGCATCTTCTCGGGACGATGGTTCCAGAACCTGTAAAACACAAAAAAGGAACAAATCCATCACCGACTGAGAATTTGACGACACCGGAAATTATAATTAACGGACAATTAAAATTAAGTTTGAAAAAGAAAACATACGCATCATACAACACAGCAACGAAAATTGCCTTCTTGACCACATCCAGCCATGCTGCTGCTCCCATTTTTTGCTTGCTGGTTTGTTTGGTTTGATTTACAAAATTCGATCTGAGTTTTTTTTTTTTTTGTTTGGTGCTGTGTGGTACAGAGAGATATAAAGAGAACAGAGAGAGCTTAGATGTGTGTATATATATAAAAATAATTAATTAAAAAAAACCAACGGTTCCAAAGGGGTCGGTTTATAAAAGATAAAGTCCGAGGTGTCTTCTTTGGTTTTGGGTTGCTTGCTTGCGGACTTGAACTGCGGACTTCAAACCCACTTGATTTTATTTTTTTTTGGGCGCCTGGACACTTTTGTCCTTATGCTCCTTTTCTTTGTTTTCCAACATATAATGTTAGGTACCATGTCCTAATATTAATGTCCATTTTAGATTTTTTAACAATAAATGATAAAATTTCAACAATAAATAAAATGATAACAAAATAGGATACACAGCTGTCGTTATTTTTTCCACTATATATGTTTAATGTAGAAATAATATGCATAGTAAAAACGAATAAGGAAAAAGATAACTAGTGACTGATTAAACGTATTATGATCCCATATACCGTTGGAACTTTTCCAATTTTATTGTTCCCGTACACTTTTGCTTCTTACGTGTAATTCATTATGAATTTTCATTATTATGTCTGTATGTATCATTACTGTATATAATATTACACTCCCCTCTGGTCGTCAAAAAAAAAAAGAGAGAAATAATTAGTACTCCTTTCGTCACGTTAAAAAAGTTTGCATTGAAATTTATTTTAAAATTGTACAAAACTTCAGACTCAATATAAAATTTTTTTTTTGAGACAAAAATAATATTGATTTAAGAATTTTTAGAACCAAGGAATAATTAATAATAAATATGGTATAAACATGCTATCAGTACCATCAGCTAATAGAGAAAAAAAAATTTCTTTCTGTGTAACCCAGCTGTCTACAATGTGTAACAGTGCTATTACGTGATACTGAACCACAATGTGTCAATCAACTTCTCTCCTTGTGTCTCCATCATGAAAATCGTGCAACACCTTTATTGTGGTTTTGACTCAACGAGACTGTAGTCTGTGGCCAACTTAACTCCTAAACATTTTATAAGCAATAGGGAGTTATTTTTTCCTTCCTAAACTAGAGGAGTTATTTTTTACTATTTATTTTTTTATATAAAATAATTATCCTTTTAGATACGATGGAGAATTGGTCATTATACAACTTTTTGTTTCTATATGTGACAGCAGTATATTTGGCAAACCAATTACAACGTGAAACGATGATAAGCCAACTTTATGAACCTAAGGATATATAGGGCAGCCTTTGCCAAAAATCTTGCATATAGCTTTTGGCAATTCAAACTATCTTTTTGAAGAATAGATCAGTAAAGAATACACACACACACACACACACACAAAGAACAAAAATTTGGCAGATCAGAATCCTTAAATGGCTGGAAACTTTATACGAGTAGTAATTGTCATAGGAATCAATACCTGTTAAGGTTCTCAAAGCACAGCTTAGAAACCCTTTTGCCACTCTGTATTTTTAATCCATCAAAACTGGAACAATAATTATATATTGTTGAAACCAAAATACGACCGACCACCATCTGATCGCTAAGAACTGAATAAATAAAATCATTCAATTCCGTTCACAACATAAAAGCCAAAGAACAAGCGAGATCTCACATTATAATATTATTCACTTCACAATTAAAGAAGAGAACAACAAACAAATGGGTTATCTATATATATCACCCGATTCATGGATTGGTGATGAATGCTTGCAGTATAACTGATACAGTGACAATCCAGTTATTACTTCTGCCAAACCCATATCTAATTCCTTCAACAATTGGCATTTTCAGTCAATGACAATAATAAATCCTAAAATGCGAACAAAAAGGCAAAAAGAATCAATCCTAAACCCAGTGGTTGCATATTTCCAATAGTTCACCACATGAACATCTGATTTGGTGGACTTCATTGGACCCACACACACACACACGCATACATGGAGTTGGCCAGTTGGGTGCCACTTTGGTTAAAGGTACATGTACAAGTTGTAAAGACGAACAGCGGTGGTATAAAACCTAACGATTAAAATCCAAAACGTAGAATTACCCAGCGCTTGGATCAATTTGAAGGGTGCTGATTCAGCCTAAGCAGAGGTCTTGGAATTCGAGATTCTTCATATACAGCTGTGTTAAAAGGCTGGTTGGTAAAGTTGCTTCTCGAAAGGAACCTACTCGCCTCGATTTCGAATTAATCAGCAATCAGTCAGCACCCACGAATATAACAATAGCAGTTGGATATCGGATACTTACATAAAAAAAAATCCAAAACGTAGAACACATACTTATTGATTGATAATGGCATCAAAACAATATATATATATATATATATATATATATCCACTAAATCATAGATCGCGTGAAGCCCTCCACAAAGAAACATGTGAAGCCCACATCAATAGAAGAAGACTGATCTAAAAGAAAAGGACCTTTTTGCCTTCGATCCACCACAGAAATATTTGGAGTGGTAGTCAACGTAAAAGCGACCCTGTCCTGCAACTCTTTTCACTTCTACGAGGTTGAAGGATCAAATGTAGTTCATCAGCCGTGTTCAATTTCTCACACGTCTAATCTTCTGACGAGGATGTCTTTAAAGCATCAACCTGAATATTTTTATAATTTCTGGCCCATTTATAACTTAACCATTTTTTCTAATATGATGACCAAAAAACTTTAGCTCCTAATAATTACGGACTCATTTTCAAAATATAATAAGTCCATTTTAAAAAATTATTGGTTAGAAAGTATTTTGTCCCGAAAATCACTTAGCTTAATTGTTTTGTACTTCTTTTGTTCCAAAATAAATATCATTTTAGCAAATTGAAAAAATTTTAAAATAAGACATAAATATACTACTAGTATTGAGAACAGAAGGAAAACTGGGATAGCTTTTTCTTCTTGGGCATACAGTGTTTCCTTCTTCTTCCTTTTTGTTTTTTTTTTTTTTTTTGGGGGATATTTTTTCAGATTTGGGTCATAACTCATAAATGTTAAAATATACTAATATTTCCTGCGGAATCAATCACTTATTACCTGCGGAATTGAATATAGAAAGTTTATAATTAAGGAGGCAAGTAAGGCTCTATTTGGTCCCTTTTTTCCCAATGTTTTCTTTTTCATAATTATTAATGAATGTATAGTTTCACCCAATTCACTTTTCCAATTTTATTTTTTTTCACATTCCTAATACTAAAAACTCACATTGAAAAAATGATCCATATGCAACCTGAATGTGTTAGTTTTGTTGTTAAACTTCAAAATATGCCTGATTTTGTTGGCACCTTTCAAAACATAACTTTCAAGATAACCGCTAGCTAACTTTTGCAAAATAGTGGCTAGACGCAGCAATCTACCAATGGAATGTAAAACAAATTTCATTTTACAATGCTTTTTTTTTTTTTGTAAAAAGAAAACAGTTTGTAATGTGATGCTAAAACGTTCAGTCATTGATATAATCATAATCATTTTTAGATAGGTAGAAATTTAATCTAATCAGGTCTTTGGCTGAATTAAGTTTCCAGTTACGGAGTTACGAATTTTAAAATTCCTCATTCTTCTAGCATCATTCCCTTAATGCGATCCCCCAAAAAAAAAAAAAAAGAAAAAGCATCATTCCCTTAAACTCTCATCCTAATTCACGATCCAAACTCTTTCTTAATGCGAATTTGAAATCTGCTTGCGTATCACTTTTGAATGCTGTTAAGAAAATAGTAACGTTACGCAGAAAAAAGTACTTTTGAAACTAGAAGACTGAATTTACCATGACTGAGTCAGGAAAACTACAAGACTAAAGGTAGGCCTCTCTTTTTGAGTTTTTTTCGTAAATGAAGTGGTGTTAAATGTATGCATATTTGACGATCACGTTGGAGCGCAAGGATCGATGTTTCTCCTTCAAACAAAAGGGGCAACTTCCCAAAGTTATCACTAATTAGGAAATATTGCAAGTTTGACAGAGAAAGAAGATGTCAATTTCAATCTCTTGCTACCTTAAACGTTTAAATTTTAAAGAACATGGTCAACCATCTAGCATTTTAGCATATCAAATCCTAAAATCTCTCTCACTGTGACCTGAAGATTCATCATACTCCACTTTCAAGACCTTTTTTCTTTCCTTCGCGTTTCCCTAAATTAAAGCCACAAATAGGATACATATCAAAAAACCTAAACCTGAAAAACTAAAAGGGATCTTGAACTGAAACCATCATCATCCACCTATGAAACGAGCCATTAGGGAAACGACTAATTGAAAATGAAGTTATGACACTTGTTCTTCATGATCTTGCCTGCAGTAAGTACGTAGTTGTAATATGCAAACAATAGCTGTTGCTATTTTCTGAGCCATTTCTTGGTGGTGCATGCATGGCACCATTGTCACAAACAAATCTCGAATTCCAGAAATGCTTCACCTATGCTTTTTCACACATGTAAGGTGTGATGTATCAAGTTTACAAGAACTCCGAAAAGGAGTATTTGCTATGGAAAATTTCAAGTGGATCGTAAATAGTCGTAAATCAAGGACATTGACCGGTAAAATTCTATTATTATTATTATTTGCTTTGATTCCTTTCTTTGTTACAACTTTGTAATTATTGTTGTTGTATCAAAATCAAGAACCAAAGGGACAGGCCAAATGTAGTAATTAACATAAAAAAAAAAAAAAGACAATGTATACTAGAATTAAAGAAACTACTCATAAATGAAGAGGAGGAGTCAGTGTTTGACTACAAAAGCCATTACACTCAAACAAAAGCAAAAGTAAAAAAACCGTACCTAAAGTTATCACCAATTCGGATAAGTTGCAGCATACAGGTTCAGTTTGACAAGCAAAAGAGGTCCTGGCTTATACTAAAAATCCACAAATTTCGTCCCCTTTTTTTTTCTTTTTTTTTTTTTACCATTAATTACCTGTTTGGATGGGAAAGCTACAGAGAGGAAATGATTTTGATTGGCGGAATGTTCCTTTAGAGATTCAGAAATTGTTTTGACCCAAAACAATAAAGAGATTCAGAAATTGATTTTTTTTTTGTTATTATTATTATTACTATTTTGAAATTTCCCAGTGGCGAGTTAGCTATCAATGCAGTAGAAGTTTGTAATAGGAAAATATGTAGTGTTACATTTCTTTTCTTTAGGAAGCAATTTTTTCACATGTCTCCCTTTTTCGTACATGCCACACTTCGGTGCATACTCTACCATGCATATTTAAAACAGCATACAAGCTCTTATTAGGTTAGGTTTTATAGTTTGTCCTACCCTCCCAGTTATAAAGCAACTAGCGGACTGCTAACTTCTCATTTCTCAAAGCTTCATCCCAAACTCAAAAAGGTTCACTTTACAAACCAAGTAGAGAGTGCAGATCTAAGAAAGATGATGAAGAAATGTAAGATCTCTTTGCTTCCGTTCTTATTCACAAAGTTATTTTCTGCTCCTTTCTTGCTTTCCTTTTTGATAAGTTTTTGGGTTTCTTTTGTTGTTCTCAACTGGGATTTCATTGTCCAGCTTAAAGGTGCCATATTTCGTTTACTATACTTTTGCTTCTTCCTTATCTTTTTTGTTAAGATTTTCGGGTTTCTTTTGTTTTTCTCTACCGGAATTTCGTTTTCTTGCTCAAAGATGGCATCTTTCATTTTCTTTTGCTTCTTTCTTGTTTTTTTTTTTTTTTGTTAAGATTTTTGGGTTCATTTCGTTTTTATCAACCGGAATTTCCTTTTCTCGCTTAAAGGTCGCATCTTTTCTTGTTTTTGGTGGGATTGAACAAAAATGTAAGGCAAAGAAAAGAAACAGGGGTTTGAGCTTTTTTTTTTCTGTTTTTCTCCGTGGAAATTTGGTTTGTGTGTAAAGGTGGAAACTTTGGTTAATTTTCGTGGGATTAAAGAAGAATGAAAGGAAAAAGAACTCAGAAAGGCCCATATAAATGCTGTGTTGTAAAGATGTAAACAGCCCAGAGTAATTGACTAGCCCAGAGTAGTAATTGGGGCTATGGGCTTATATGCTGTGTTGTGTTGTCATACCCAGGGGCATTTTTATAGTTTTATTTAATTAGGGACTAAATTGTAATAGACTAGATTATAGGAATTAGATAGTAGGGGGTCTGTTTTACAATTATTGTAATTGTAGCTAAAACTATATAGATTCGGGCGGGTCTTGTAATAGGGTAATTATTCAGATTATTGAACCCGACTGTTCTTCCCCTTTTATCCGACTCTCTCTCAATCCAGAACCCTAATTCACAATTTTCTTAATTTCTTCTTCTAATCTTCTCAATTTGGTCCAATACTTTCTTTTTCTCTGATTCTAATCTCGGGTCGTGACATGTGTTTACCGCTTATATGTTGTGATTAATTCTAAAAGGCAGTGAATCTTTTTCTCACGTTTCTCCAGGTTTTGGTGTTGTTGGGTCGGGGATTAGGGGTTTGATCGGAGATGGAAAAGTGAAATTGGCTGAGGGAAAAGTAAGGGTGAAGGCAGGGTTTGAGGTGGGAAAAGAAAGTTTGAGGCGGGGTCATGATGGGATTAGAAAAGAATTTAGAGGATTGGTGAAGGGCGTTTGGGATGATCGTAGCTGTTGGCTTGCATTGGCTATCTATTTAGCACAGACAGCTGCAGCTGAAAAAGATAGACAAAAAGCTGCCCAGAACCATGAGGATGTTATTCAAGGTGAGAAGGTAATCTGTGATGGAGTATATGATATCAGAGATGTTGTGGTGGAGGAAGGAGTTCCAAAGAAGGAAAAGGAAGAAGTTCCAAAGAACGAAGAAGAGGAGGCTTTGATTCCGGTAGAAGAGGTAGATTCGTCCAACCTTAATTCAACCTTTTTTGTGGCTGGCATTGTTGTGTTTGTTCTTCTGTTGAAGAACAACAACAATTAGGGTGGCCTTTTTTTAAATTGCTTTTGGTGACCATAGTTTCGTTTGAAGAACAAGTTATTATGATGTTTTCATTAACTAATTGTGCTGGATATTTTGGTCTCTAGTAGTATTTCTAATCTTTTGTTTTGCCCCTGCCCTGAATGTATGCTTTGCCATTTGATTGATGAATGGTTTCAATTTATTCAAAAAAATTGCCTAAGGCTCTGGAGGTAGGAGTAGGATGGTGTGTTGTTGTTATTATAAACAAAATGCTGCTGCGCCCCGGTGTTTATAGCTTTGAATTGAATCGGTTGTGATCGACTTTGAATCGGTGGTATTGTATTTTTCCAAGTAAAATTAAGGACGGACTTAAACTGTCCACTGATTTCCAGAGGTGGTGCAAATTTGGTCGCCGATATTCGTTTTGAACGGTTCAGAAGCTGCCTCTTTGGTTTTATGCCCATAAAGCTCAGCCAATTTGCAAACTCGTTATCAAGTTATCATTTTCTTTAGCTAAATTGAAGACGCCAGGATTCGATTCGTGCAAAATGCATGTACATCTTAGGCTGCTGGCTTGCGCACTGGGTTCCCCCTATGAGTTTTATCTTCCATATTTTGGCGTTATCAGTTTCTCTGGGCATTCCCAGCAGCACAAAAGTAATGCAATCTCCTATTTCCCCCATTTGTTTATATTTTCGCCATGAAAACAGAACTATATCAATCCAACTTAAATTTATGTCTAAGGGAAATAAATCCTTGTCTTCGGTAATGTGAATATCATTTGCAGGAGGCCTCTCCCACTTTTAGGAGCCAATCCAATGCCACTCAAATCAGCTCATCATCAATGAAATCCTTCTTGCTTTACATGTTCGGTGTTTGAAATTATTGCTTCCACTAATTCGAATTCGACACGAATAAGTCCATTTCGGGAGCCAAGATTCATCCAACAAGTTTTATTGTTATATTATAATTGGATACATATTAGCCCCGTGAATGCCTAATTCTACCATTCTCTTTGTTTGATCCTCTTCCAACTTCAAGCCTTAGTCTGCATACTTTGGAGAAAACACTGCCTACGTATCAAAATCAAACTTTGGAGAAAACATTGTCTACGTAACAAAATCAATGAATTCCAGTTATTATTGCTTTTTTTTTTACCAATCTAATGTTGCCATGTCTACCAGTACGTTAGTGGTCAAATTATTCGAAAAAATTTTCAATATGTGTTTTATTCAAAAAAAAAAAAAAAACAGTGAGAATGTGATCCACCAAAATGAAATTGAATGACTTCGGTAAAACATCAAGAAAATTATTGGTTCCAGGAAGAAAGATTACTTCACAGCGCATCCCTCAAGAAGATCACTCAATCATGTGCAGCTAATATATACACACACACTATTACATCCAAGAAATGCACTTGTTGCAGATGACAGCATTCTACTCTCCACTAAGCCTGATGATATCAGTTTCAAGTGATTTGATGTAAATATGTTTACTCATGCAGCCCTCCTGGTTAGTTGATCTGAGGAAGTACTCTCGAATATTTTGTCAGCATTTCCAACCTCAAACCCGTCTCTTCGGTGGAACTCCTTCACCTACAGTACCCCATTATTAAGTTCAATGGGATTTGTTATGCATCCATAAGGTTTTTACATTACAGCACATATAAGTTTTGTTGTACACATCTAAGCCAATAAGTAGAATGAGCCCATTAATTCTCAATCCAATATGCAACTCGCGACATAAATAACGTACCAGGTTGACAAAGTAAAGGTGATTCTAGTATCATTCAGCTCCCTCTCATTGTATCAAAAACTAACACATAATGTTCTTATTCCAAGTCTTGATATACTACTAATTAAAGACCAAGGTTATAAAAGGAAGATTGATCCCTTTAAGAAAACATTTCGTGGCAACACAACAGAGCAGGTAACAGGAAGTTATTCATTGCGTCCATTTGAACCAATACTGAACACCAAAAGCCAAGAGACTGATTCAACATGGTGATGGCATAGGCGTAAATTATGAGTTGAAGGTTGCAAACCTCTTTATCTGGTAGATTTCTGTATTGGGGCAGTATAAGGCGTTCGGCAAACTCAATGTATGAACAAGGGACTGATTTTTCGACACCATCAGCAAACTGGAAAGATAGCGAATCTGCTACAGTTGAGCTTTGCAATAGAAGACCGTCAGGGCTCACTGAAAATTGACAAAGTTGAAACTCTTAGTTGCATGAAAATCGACAAAGATGAAACTCTTAGTTGCATGAAATAATCAATAAATATCCGGAGCTGCTAGTTAGAATACACTTGATGCCTAAAAAGCATTAAAGAATATCAAGGTTAAGTTTCTTTCTTGCATGAAACTCATGATATCAAGAAACTATCAATGAATATTAGGATACTTCTAGATAGCCAGATTTTTATGCTAATCAGTAGTCACCATTTTGTCTACGTTTAAAGGTATGCTAATTCCAGAAGTTACAAACATTTTAATGTTAAAGCTCCACATCAAAGTCTTTGGACAAGGGCCATAATAACTGATTCGAAACAGTAAAAGCACAATTGATTTCAGCTTACTATTTCAGAAGGAAACCTATTGAATCTCAACAACAATGGAGAGTGAAAACAATCAGATTGGTTCCCAGTTCTATTTGTCATCATCACATCCAACAAATTGGAATCCGGTAAAGTTCTGCTCAACCCCCCCCCTCCTCTTTCTTTTTCATTCATTTGTTCTAATTTTTCGCCTTACCAGTAATGTTGCAATACCAAATCACAATGCAGTAGATTTCAGGGGGGAAAACTGCTGGAAGGTTTGATATACCAGAAGAAGTGTCTTTCTGTCAAGTTTATTAGGAAAGGACATTTCAACAATTAAGGACAAAAGAAATACACTCCACTAATTTTAAATAAAAATATTAAAAAGATTTATTTAAAAATAAATTCCCCTCCACTAACCTTTGAGAACACCCCCTTCAGAGTTTAACTTGTAACCATTCTCCTCAATGAAGTCGTTGAGACTTTTGATACTTCTAAGATGTGATTTCAGCCGATGGGTGGATATAGTAACATGATTTAGAGCATATCCATTAACTAAGGTCCAAGCAGCATATTCACTTTCGCTGGAGACAGAGGAGTTCATAGAAAATAAAAAGATCTCAGCAGAAAGCTTACATAGCACAGAGCGAAAAATGTATCCATTCATAAGGTGAAGAAATCAATTTTGTGAACAATATTCTAGAGTTGTTAAGCAAAACACAAGAATGATATGTGTCGATTCATATTGGCCATTGCACTTTAGTAGATTATAAATGCATGTCTTGAACATTCTGTAAGATCAGCTACCTAGCTAGCACTTGGAACTCTGAGTATGAGGGTTTCTCCCATGTCAAAGATCCAAAGCAACTTGCAAGAGCTGCATACTTGTTCCCATTGCCTGATATATCAGTATATTTCCTAATTATTTCCTACAAACACAAAGCAAGATGATGAGATAATAAAAAGGCCTTTACTTGATGTTGAAACAAAGATCGGTGGTGGAACAGCCACATGACGATTTACGAATCTGAGTTACAAAAAAGACGATTACTTCATTGAAGGCTACCCTCCAATAGGTTTAATGTTAAGCATATATACCTTCTACACAAAAGCTTAAGACAAAAGCAGAACAGCTATGTGCGATTCAACTTCTATTAGATAAGAGAATTAGAACGTAATTGCTATGACACAAAGATATCAAGTTCCCGAAAAATATGAACAATCGACTCATTTTATACATGAATTAGGCTGAAGGAAGACATCATGCTTTCAGTAGCTCAATATGTCAGTATGCTTACTCACCTGAGCTTGTGGGCTTAACTCATCCACCAGAAGTTCTGATATGAATATTCTAGGCAATGGCCCATTAACACCAATGCCAATATCAGAGTTTTGAATCTTTGGTGGAGAGAACCAGAAAGCTTTCAACTTTTTAGCTGGGAATCTCAATTCCTCACGTTGAACATAGCCAAAATCCAAGAAAATTCTTGCCATTGAATCAATGCCATGGTCATTTACCTATTGAAACAAAAAAAAAAACATGCTGAATATAGAAACTAGAACGAAGCTCCAGATGATAACTGCAGACTAGTAAACCTGTATAATGATAAATGACAGCCACTGCTGCAACAGAAAAACATGTGCAAAGTTTCAGTGGCTCTAACAATAGGCCTACTGAGGTAACCAAAGAATAAAAGAGTATCACCCCAAATGTTCTGAATGCAAAATGGTCATAGCAAATTTGCTCATCATCAACAGAACGGACAAGCTCCAAGATGGACTTTGCTGTGGGATTTCTGTTCAAATAAACTGTCTCCATGCTTGCCAACACACTCCTGAAAAACGACTCACCACCCTGCAATTCAATGATAACCGACAAAGTAAATCAAACCAATGGTACATACATAACTAAATGATAAAATTAATACATGCAGCAGATTCGCAGATTGATCACAAAAGACAATCTCCGATACAGATTAATCACTGTTTTGAAAAACTTCAAGACCAAATGAAAAAAATTAAAATCACTTTCTATCAATAGCAGAGAAAAGTTGCCCCTGTCTGTTTGATGGTGATCAAGAATACCTCACTTCTTAGTGAATTGAAAGACAAAACAGTGAAACACAATTCTCGATTACTATGGAAACAATAACAACAAAGTTTAAAAAAGACCATTAATTTAATGTTCAGCTGTTTAAATAAAGAATCTAAACCCCACGCGTGAGGATGAAATTAGAAGGTGGGCACCTTAAAGCTGGAGTCTTGATGACCATGATTCGCCATTGAAGCAGAAAGAGAAGAGAAGGCACGATTTCCCAGATGGGTTATGGAATTTGTGGGGAAAATATTCTTAAGCGAGATAAAATTCGTGTTGGAAGAACCAAAAGAAGAAGAGAAACAGTGGAGAGAGGGGAGAAATGAAGAGGATTTAATAGAAGAAGAAGCTGAGTATAAGGCGGCCATACTGTGGATGAAGTTATTGGTTTTTTTAACAATATTGATCACCTTTTTCAATCAATAATAATCGTATTATATAAACGAAAATGAGTGTCAAAGATCGGTGCTTTTCCACAAAAGATGAAAATCCCAGATGAGGTGGTTGGGTATTCAGAATTTTGGAATGCAGTGGATCAGTGGAAGTCCGATGATGATGATGAGTACGATGTAGTTGTAAGAAACGGAAAAGAAATTTCACCACGTAACGTAGTGAACATTTGACAAAAAGAAAATTAATTCCCCTTTTGGATACTGTAGAGTGTCTTTGAGTGGAAATACACAACATTAATGCAAAGGTGGAAATGCTTCAAATTCTAAACCTCATTTGGATGGATGATGATGTGGTAATCCAAATCTATTAATGGTAAACCGATAAACATACACATCACCATTTCATATGACATTTTGCACTAGACTAGAAGAATACGAACAGAGGAGAGCTACTTTTTTTTTAAACCGAAAAAACGAAGAAGAAAGAATTTCCTTGTTAGTACCATTTTTTTTTCGGAATTTTTAATACCATTATGTTCAACAAAGTATGACTTTCTTTTTTGTATATGTTAAATCAAAAGTATTATATCTATACTTTATCCGCTCACGAAAAATAGTCCATATTTAAATTCATATTAATAGTCCTCATTGAGTTTAGTAGCATTTAAAACCTTCTCAAATTAATTCTTTATTAATTAATAAACTCTATTAAATTAATTTTTTGGTTCCCAACTCGAGAATCGAGATCAGTACAAAAAATAAAAATAAAAAAATTTGATTAATTTAGAAGATAATAAATTTTCAAGAATCTCTAATATAAATATAGGTCCCCACAATTTCTTAGATTTGAAGATTAGTTTCGATTTTGACTTAAGTATTTTTGTTTATGTTTGCAATTATCATATTTTTGTTCCACTAAAAAATTTATAATGTTATGGCTAGAATTTCAATGGAATTTTTCTTGAAGTAAAAAATATTAATTTTTATTTTTTCTTACTTATTAGGATTAAAAAATTCTTTAAATTAATAGTTATTAATTTATCAATATATTAATAACCCTATAAATTAATAAATTTTTGGAGTCCCAAATGAATTAATTTATGGAGGTTTTATTTTATACTGGTATACTGTAGTACATATTATATTTAGACCAAGTATAAAAAAATCAGAAACAAAAAAAAAGAAAAAAAAAAAAGAAAGACACTTGACAAAAGCCGAATATCAACCTTTATATATTCAACTAAATCCTTAGGTGTTTGATTTAAACTTTGAATCAACCTAAAAAATACATAGAGAAATATTGTCATGGTGGTAGTATTAGAGAATATTGTATTATCTAAGTACATCAATAGAAGGGAAGGAAAACACCTTTGATGGTAATTAAAAAAAAAAGGGATGAGATGAGAAAGAGAAAACATACGTTACTTTCATACGAATGCGTAAGAGAACGGGCACCGCTTTTGACGTTTCAAAGTGAAGACTATTCCTACGAAAGATTTTTGTGGTATATTGTATGGGTCATATAGACAGAAACTATAAATTGGAACAAGAAATAACGTGGCAAGTTGTACTAATATTTATGTAAGACATTTTTTTTATAGGATTTTTCTAAGGCAGATAAAAGTTCTTTGTTACATTTGTTCTAAATCTAGCGACGATTTCCAGGAGGCCAGGTAATCAAGATTCCTCTTTTATTGGTGATAATGCTAGCCGGAAGTTTCTGCTTGATATCATCATTCTGCATTGTGGCAATCTTACATTTCTTTGCAACTTTGCATTCTAATCTAGTTTTTTTGTTTTTTTTTTTTAATGTTTTGCATGATATCATCTGGGTTCTTGCTCCTTTTGTCATCCAACAAATTGCCATTCATAATTTGATAAATTGGTTCTTTTTTATTGCTTTTGGGGAGTTGGATTTGGAAGGTTTTTTTCTAGGGGAGTATGTGAAATTAAGAACAGAATTTTGGGATAATTTATTCAAATACTGACTAACTGCAACCTGAAAGAGATTGTTAATTTGTTCTATTGACATTCTTATCTTCTCCTTTTCCCACCAAACTCAATCTGTGAGTGAGGCTGCAAATTGCTCCTTGTCCAAGCATCAACATAAGCAGCAAGCACGGTTAAATCTTGGTGTGCTGTGCCTCTTTTGGTTGCAATTTGATACTGAGTTGACGTGATCCTGATTGTTTGTTTCAGGCCCCGTTTGTCCTACTAGGTAGATCAACCATGGGACAAGCTTTAGGATGCATTCAAGTAGATCAGTCAAAGGTTGCAATCAAAGAAAATTTCGGGAAGTTTAATGATGTCCTTGAGCCTGGTTGTCACTGCATGCCCTGGTGTTTAGGGAGCCAAGTTGCTGGCTACCTGACGTTGCGAGTGCAGCAACTAGACGTTAGATGCGAAACCAAGACAAAGGTTGGTCAGCTCAATACTTGCACTTTTGTTGTTGCTTTGCATTTGTTCAAAAGCTTCTCCAGTCCATCATCTGACTTTATATCATGTCAAATGGATGTAGTAGCAATGGATTTGTATATATCTTTACTGTAGAATCTAAATGAGTTTGCTTATCAGAGAAAATCGTGAATAAAAACCACTAGTCTCATACTCATTAGAGATTCTGGACCTCATTCTTTATCTATCTCTTTGAAAGCAGTATTTTGTTCTATAGAGCAAATTTTTACAGCTTTAACTCTTTGTAGGTTTTGTTGTTTGTCTAATCATCTACTCTGAGACTTGAAATTGAAAGACAGAAGAATAAATTAGGAGATGGAATTGTCCTTTAGCATGAAATAATATCGCATGAATTTTGTTAAGAAGTTGGAACTTTTCAATATTGATCTTTCAGGATAATGTCTTCGTCATAGTGGTTGCTTCAATTCAGTATCGAGCCTTACCTGACAAAGCTGAAGACGCTTTCTATAAGCTCAGCAATACCAGGGAGCAGATTCAAGCTTATGTCTTTGATGGTAAGGAATCATGAAGTGATGCTTTCTTCCACACCTTTCTGCATGAAAGTTTTCTTTTGCCCTTCGTCTCTTTCGAATCTTATCTGTGCTTTTGCAAGTCTGATTATAATATGTTTTTTCACCTGTTAATCTTGTTTCAGCATTTTATTATTCCCCCAAAACTTCAAAATCAGCCCCGACTTTGGATCATGTACTGATCGTTAAACTTTGTACTTTCTTGCTTAATTGTGACTGTTCAGTTGTCAGGGCAAGTGTACCAAAGTTGGAGCTTGACAATGTCTTCGAGCAAAAAACTGAAATTGCTAAAGCAGTGGAAAATGAGCTCGAAAAGGCAAGTTTATGTTTGTCATTGCTTTTATGAAGGGTAAATTTGTAACATATAACTCTTCCCTTATTGATCTTTCTTTTGAATGGTTAGGCCATGTCTCATTATGGTTATGAAATAGTCCAGACACTCATCGTAGATATAGAACCAGACGAGCAAGTTAAAAGGGCAATGAATGAGATAAATGCAGGTATTGATCTGTAATCTTATCGTGAATTTTACATTTTATCCATCAATGTGACAGAATTCAGTTCAGTTTTTCTAACCAAGTAAATTCTGCCATGCGAACATGCTTTATAAGATCTCTAACTCGGGGTGTATATGGGAACCTGCTGCAAAAATATCTGCTTATTCACCGAAACAAATTTTCCAAATAGAAATCATTATAGTCAGTAGCAATTTCTTTCCATGTTTTTGCCCTGGAAAATGAATTTACTCTTGTTACTCTTGCAAATAGCTTCAAGAATGAGGGTAGCTGCAAATGAGAAGGCCGAGGCTGAGAAAATATTGCAGATAAAGCGAGCTGAAGGTGAAGCGGAGTCGAAATATTTGGCTGGACTTGGTGTAGCACGTCAACGTCAAGCCATCGTAGATGGACTGAGAGACAGTGTGCTTGGCTTCGCATCTAACGTGCCTGGGACTACCTCCAAGGATGTCATGGACATGGTTTTAGTAACTCAGTACTTTGACACCATGAAGGAGATCGGTGCATCTTCAAAATCTTCCTGTGTCTTCATTCCTCATGGCCCAGGGGCTGTTAAAGATATTGCCACACAAATCAGGGATGGATTGCTTCAAGGTAATGCAGCTGAACAGTGAAGTATACATGAAATGGTATCCTTGCAGACTGATCAATGCACATGTTATATCATATAAACATCTCTGAGATTCAAGCTTAGCAACATCGCCACGTGTAGTTCATTTTGTTGAGTTTCTATGGCTTGAAGTTGTTCTTTTGTATGGACAGAAGGATTTGAATAGTTGCTGTAAATACGAGTCATTGAGCGATGTTTCTTTACTTTTGTTTCATCATAGTCATAGTCCTTGGTTATTGATTTAGCCAAAGTTCTTTACTTTGATTGGTGCGTGTATTTAATTTTGAACAAGCAAGGAAGCAAAGGTTAACCTGGAGTGAATTTCACCAACAATGAGCAACATGGGGGTATCACACCATCCGTTAATCCAATACCTAATTGTGGATGGCATATTATTTTCAGGGTTCTTCAGCCTTTAAGCAATAGTCCTCCTAAGAGAAGCATGTTGAGCAGGTCTTTTAGTTAATAGTATCTGCTTTTAACTGAAAGTAAAACCATAGGGGAACGGAATTTGTTTTACTATTGTGAATCAAATGTTTGGGAAAGTAGTAAAAATGCAGATCTATAAGAATTATAAATTGGTGGCTAACCAAATTAGAGCAATGATGAAAACTTGGTCCAGGGTTCAATAAACCACCACCATCAAAATGTATCAATCAAAATAGGGTTACAAAAGCCATCATGGCTTTGATTAGATGGCGAAATTGTCATTGAATGAGAAAGCCAATTCAACCGCATAAATAGTTCATCAGAAAATGAAAGATGCACTGGATTTTTTTTGGACCTACATTATTCTCTCTGCGTCATACACAAACATAGCCCGATTTTGCTGAATTCCATGTCAAACCATTTTACTCAAGGCTTGAGAGCAACAGCCAACCCAATCTTCGCACTTTTTTCAATGGCCCTGGTGTCAACTTCACCGGAAATGGTAAAGAGGGACTTTGGACGCCATTCGTGTTGGATGAGAGCACTTGCCTTACCATAGTTGTTCACCCTAGCCTTAACTGTCGTCAGTGGGTCTAAAGAGTGTTGTGTCCCGATCGTGAGGGTATTTTCATTACTTGAGAAGCCATGGCTCAACTCTGCTCCAACAGCTGTGTTGGTCAATGGACTAACGCTGTGGTAATATGAAGCAGTGAGAGTGTCACCTTTGTCATTCCTGTAGACATTGACAAAGAACTTGCCCCATAAGCAAATAAAAGTAACAAAATGAAGACTACATTCAATGATAATGTCTTATGTCTAGTAAGCAAATAAAATGATAAAATAGAACACCACCAGAATCTGTATCCAATTTTTGTAGTATACATTATCTTGAGTAATACAATATCTGATACTCACATGATGCTTTTGAAAAAATAAACATTTTACCTTACAGTTACGAGTATTACGCTAAAGGGTGTAAAAATATGCGCATCAGCTAATATAAATGAAAAATATCGGTTTTTAAAGGTACTTACAAGATCAATGAAGCAATAAGATCAGAATTGGTATAACTTAGTCCAGCATTATATTTGGTGAAGTTTCCAGTGGCAGTGTCAAAAGCAAGATCCGTTCCAATGGCGAGCTTGTTATTTCCAGCAACCCCAGCAAAATTCACAATTGGGCTGGCAGTGAGTCCTATGCTGGTGCTAATACCAGCATACTCATGCAAATATTGGAGTTCCACCTGAAAATAAAGAAACAACAGCCTCCACATCCATGAGAAAACTATTTTTAGAAACAGTTGGAACCCAAAAAAAAATAGGAAACCTCGTAATGGTGATTTTGAATCATCCATAAAAGCCAATACTTAAACAGGATTGATTACCTTTCCAGATTTTTGATCTGGGACAGTAAAGCTAAAGATTGTCTTCAGTCCAGGTGCAGGCTCATCAACAGTGATGGTAGCAAAAACCTAGACAAACAGAAAATCATGTTCATAATGCAAGTAATGATACACACATAAAGTGGAATAGGAGAGCGAGCACATATGAAATGGCCAGGATAATAACGAAAGCAAATGGACATCACAACAAAGGAAATAATATACAAATGATGTTTGACACGTGTCAAAACAAACCACTAAAAGAGTAGACAGAGTTTTAGTGCCCTTTTAAAGTAAATGTAGAAGTAATTTGTGGTTGATATGCTCAGAATGCACGATGCAAAGTCAATACAGCAGAAAAAACAACTTACTTTGGAGTTAGTATCCACTTTTAAGTCGGTTGTGATATTTTTGTTCTTCAGCTGGGTGTTCACATCAGCCAAAAAGAACTCACCCTTTTTGGTTCCTGATGATGTAATGGCCTAAAAATGAAAAGCAAACTTCAGGTTAGAGCACAAAAGGTAAAAAGTAGTGACATGGCATATTATGAATGCAAGTCATAAAATTAAAATAAACATCCACATACAAACGAATATGATACAGATGCCAAGTGCATCAAAGCTCTATATTCCCCTCGACGCTACCTAATCCAACTACTGATAATTCATCTAATCAGTCTGACCGTGGAGTATGATAAAACTCAGATGGACTAATGATATCACAGAGTTGTCATAGTAAATGCAATGAGAATACCTAAAGTTCATTCACTCTACACAACCACAAAAATTTAAACTTCATATGTACCACAGTAAACGGGAGAAGAAAACAAAAAGCAACCTGACTCAGAAAAGAAAGTTTTAGCTATTTTATGACCTTGAGACAACATAATAAAGCTAATTACAGAACAAAATTCAGCCACAACAATCACACAAGATCTTCACCAATGACAACTCTAAACAAAGAATCCAAACTAAACAATCACAATGAACGGAGTAGGAGAGAAATTTCATAGAGTCAATTGTATGTAAGCTTAAAAATTATCATTCTAACAGCTGAGATTTACGTACAAAGAAAATTGCAGAAGGTAAACAATAAGATAAAAATGTCCAAACTACAAGTGCAAATGGAGAAAAAAGTAAAACCAAAAGAGCACAATATTGCCTCGGATGACATCACCTAATCAGTCACATATCTGCTCTTTAAACTAATCGGTCTAACCATTTTTGCCAGAGCACAAAAATGAGATAGATGCAGTAACTGAATTACCCATAGAAAAAAACAATAACAAAAATAATAATCTAGGTTGTTAGCAATCAACAAGGCTTCCCAAGAAAAATTAAGCTTCAAAATGGCAAGGCAATAACAAACAAGAATAAAGCACCTGTAACATAACCCATCTCCTAACCACCCTCTTTTCTCTTACCGGGGCAATTTTTCTTTCTGCGGTTGTTTAAATTTCCGATATTAAATAAATAGCCACTTCAAACAGCAGGAGACCAGGTACCCAAGGGAAACACCATATATTTTAACCCCAAACAAAAAGCAGAAAAAATAAAAGTCTATGCAGGCAATTGCCGCACCAAATACTCCATATCTCTTCATTTACCATCGAGATGCACAACTCCAATCATAACCCAATAAACTAACAACGTAATCCAATCAGTGGCTATTGTGAAACAAACGCGCGACCCACGTAAATCATGCACATACACTGATACACACAAAAGAATAACAAGAAAAAGAAGAGACGGGGGGGACTGACCACTCCATTTGCAGTGTAAGTGGTGAGGGTAAATTTGTGGTCGCCCTGATAATCCCGGTACAAAAGATCTACACAAGAACAGGATCAAACACGTGAAGGACATTTCATAAAACACATCAACACCGCAGAAAGTAATAAGGAATAATAAGAACAATGAATCATTACCCCGAGCTCTCTTGCCGATATCGGTGTAAAGACCAGGACCCTTCACCATTTTCGGAGCTGAAATTAACAGGAAAGAGGAAGCGGTGGAGAAGGACACAGGAGGAACAAGGGTTCAGTGGCGTTGTCTTTGAGCTCTGTGTGTGTGTGTGTGTGTGTGTGTGGAATGTGTCTAATAAATTAAATTTAAAATGTAAATTGTAATCAGCTGGAAATTGCAAATAAAAGTATATAATCCTAATTAATTGCATATTTTGCTGGCCTTTGGATCCACATAAAGCCATTGAAAGAAGAATTTTGGCCGTTGATTATTTTGGGTATCACTTTACAAATAAAGTTTTTTTTTTTTGTCCAAATAATTTCCAAAGCAATAAATTACTATTATTTTCAATATTTTTCCTTTTTCTCATTTTGATTTTAGTGAATATGTATTTCCTCTTTTGAATCAGGGGCAATGTGTTGTTGATAATATTAGAATGATTTAATACGAAAATTTGAATTAATGTGATTGCAATTATATGAATTATTACTGAAGAAATATTTGGAAGCATAAGAAGCAAGGTTCGGGCCTTCGGGGAGGCCATTATTTAAGTAAAATTAAAAGAATGTTTGTTTTTTGTGCAACCAAAAATAGTTGTGCCGCAAGATGAAGGAAAGCTTTTTGTTTTGATCTATTGCTAATTAAAGGAAAATGAAATTATGTGTGACAAAATTGTAATGCCCATGTCAAGTTTCCTTTGTATTTTTCTCGAATAGAACATACATGTCAGTCCCAAAATGATTTTCGCACTATTTATTATTCTACTAAATACTAATATACCAAACATGATTAGCACAACATAACGCTCATATATATATATATATATATTTATAATAGATTGTATATTTCTTACCAAAACTTGAAAATACATTTAAAAAAAATTGAATGAGGTACATTGTTTAGCCAACAATAAATAATAAATAAAAAAACAAAAACAAAATTCGTAATGTAACAACAAGCAAAAAAAAAAAAAAAGGTTGAATTTTGAGGTCGAAATGTGAGGAAAGTAGGTGTGGCTTAAAAAGCTGCCTAAAAATTTCATATATGTGCGAGTGCGAAGGAAGGAACACGTTAGAATATGCTGCTCGTTTGATTTTTGGTACAGCTGGGAGGGAATATGCTTATTGCCAATGCCAATTGCCTAGTGCCAACCACCCTCCATCCATTCTCCTACCTTGTTGTGCTTATGTGTGTTGCTGACTTGCTGCTCCATCCAAAACTCTTACTTTGAGTTACACATGCCATTCTATTCTTTTCGTCCCATAAAAAAGTAGTTCGTATTGAGTTTTAAAATTATACTAATAAAAATAATATAGTGCGATAATTTTTTTTTTTTCATAGATGGAGTAATTTATATATTTCTTAGTAATTTTTGGAGTTGCAAATTCGTTCATTAGGAGGTTTTTTATGCCGAATTAAAAATCCATCACAAATTAAATTTATTTTCTTTTCTTGATAGAAATATCACGTCCAAGCAAATTTTTAAGTTATTTTTTCTTTATTATTATTATTTATTTATTTTTTCTTTCATAGTTAAACTTTAAAGGGCGAGTACCATCGACAAAAATAACAAATCTCTGTTCATCATTTCTAAGTTAGTTTAATCAATTGCACCCCCCCAAAAAAGAAAAAAAAAAGAAAGAAAGAAAGAAAAAAACCAAGAAAAAAGAAGAAAAACAATAGCCGAAATCCTTCTAACCACAGCATCATTTCGGTCCAAATTGTACGGCTCTTTTTGTTGGGTACTACAACGTGGCATTTTGCTTTTTTAGTCATTCCATTGACTTTGAAGTTGCACTTCATTCTTATTAGTGCAATGATTCGAGGGTAGTGGTCAAAAACAGGGACAACATTCATAGCCAATAAGCAATGATCATCCCAAGGAAAAAAAAAACAATGTAAATCTTACATGTAAAAAATAAAGATTAAGTTCATCACCCAACTCTCTCAAAAATAACAACAATTTTGGGAGTAATTTCTTCTTCTTGTTGTTGCAATACGTGAGAGATTTTAAATATCGTATGCCATGTCCGTAACACACTTGACTCCCTTAAAAACGCCTACAAAATCCGCATAAACAGATGCTACAAACAAATGAGCATGATGTTGGTGAACTTCAGTTATGTACACATCATTGTACTCCTCAAAAAAGTGGACCGTCTCCAGAATTTGACCCTCAGAGTTGAACTTCTGCGCCAATGGAAAAGTTGCCTTCTTTGGTAGAAACCTCTCAATGTTCACTGGAACCCAGAAATCTCCTGATTCAGTCCTCTTGATATTGTCTGGATTTCCAGGAAGATTCACCATTACTTCTGAGGTATTAGCCTTAGGACCCTTTATCCAAAACTTTCTAATTCTTCCCGCAACGTACTCTGATACAGCCACAAATGTGCCGTCTTTACTGACCGCCAACCCGGTTGGCCCAGCCAGCCCTGTTAAAACCACTGTTCTTTGCTTAGTCATCGGATCATATTTCAGCAGCCTTCCACTTGTGTCTCCGCTAAGTATGAATTCGGTGAGATTCCTGAAAACATTGATGAGATATAGGATTTCGGTTATTACACCATATCATGAACCAATCAATGGTGCTATTGATTTCAAGGAAACTTGTTTTAAAAAGAAACACTAAGTTGGTATGTTACCTTATTTTGAGGATGGATGTTCCAACATCAGTATAAAAGATGGTTCCGGTGACTGGATCGACATCGATTGCATCAGGAACATCTGTGGGAACTCCATCGCCGTCGCAAACTGGAGTTGCTAGTCCACCTTGAGGTCCAACCACCATAGGACCATGAAAAGCATCCGCAATGTACAAATCCCCTGTCTTTTGGTTGAATTCCAAACCTATTGGTCTACCACATTTAATTGCCAATTCAACCCTGTCATCTGTGAATTGTCCGTCGCATAGTTCCTTGGTCCTGAAAGTGTAATTGCAAATGTTATCAGAATCAAACATATCCAGCATCATCCAGTTCTTGCTACCTTAAATGATGATACGCCGGTGCACTGAAACCAACCATTTATGTTATTAGTAATAATAGTGGTATACCTCTGAGCTGAAGTAGTAGCAAAATCAGTGAATCCAGTTTGTGGACCTTGGTATTTGACGATTCTACCATCGTTGAGAGATGTATAAGGGCCTCCACCATTTGGATCAAAAGCACAGGATTCAGAACCCCTTGAAGGAAGGTTGAGCTTCTTAAACTTATAGGATTGCTGTAATTGAGCTTGAAGCATGGAAGGGGAACAGGAGATCAATATGATTATTAGGAAGGAGAGCACAGCCATATTTGGCGATACAAGAATGCTCAACCATTCTATGGACAGCAGTGGCCTTGATTTGTCACTACTTATAGGTTATGACTGTTGCAGCAGACATTCCATGATTATTATTTAACATTTGGGTCAATCCTGGCAACTCCATTCAATAATGGACAGCAACCAAGTTTCAAGCTCAATTGGCTTCTTCTAAAATGTTTGCTTTCGTTGCTAATCATTTTCAGTTCTTTCCCAAATTAATAATGCTGTGCATGAAGATTAAACTGAACGCAATATGGTTTCTTTAACAGACTACTACTCTTTCTACATTCAGATTATCATTGTGATTCAACTAACGTTGATAGTGAAATGAGTGTAGTTTCCATTGTTTCACGTTTACAAGCATTGTAACTCGGAAACGTACCATCAACCTAGCAATCTCAAAATTGTGCTGAAGAAAAGATTTTGCTGGGAAGAGGGTCTAGGAGGGAGAGATCTCATCTGGGATACAGATAAATATTTTCTCCATTAACTTCAGCTCTGCATACATTACATTCTTTCCCAATGTAAGTTAACACCACTCTGAGATCAGAATTAACACACACAGTCTTCTCCTATACCCTTACCCTTCTTTTCAGTCATCTATAACGGTAAGGTTCCAGACAAAACATTTTCGTGATTTGGGAGGGGAAAGAAAAAGAATGTAGATCAGGAAAAGTAATGCCGAGTAGGCCACTCCAACCCCTATTGTTTACCGTTTGGTTTTGGTGAGTTTTGAGGGAACTGACTATGATATGGAGACGCATGAGAACCGTTCGGTATTGAAAGGCTTCTGGGATGTTGTCCATTCCTTGAAAATGATGCAGCATGTGACCGTATTCCGTTTCTGGTATTTGGACTGGATCCAACACGGTCAGCTTGCATTGTCTGGAAGTAGAAGGAAGAGCTAGCCATATCCTTCAGGGCAGGCAGAGGTCTCAAGGCTTCCACAACTTCACTCATAAGCGGCCTGACTTTTGGATCTCGGCTAAGGCACCGAGCAGCCAATTGAGCAGCCTTCTGCGCTCCTTTAATAGAAAAATGGCCTTCGAGCCTGGGGTCTATTAGCCGATAGAATCTTCTTCTCTCACCCAGGTGAGGCCTTGCCCATTCTACCAAATTATGCTCCCCATTTGGCCGATTCTTGTCCATGGATCTCCTACCGGTCAGCATTTCAAGTAAAACAACACCAAAACTGTAGACATCACTCTTTGACGTAAGATGCCCTGTGAGAAGAACAAATGGGTGATCAGGAAACACTGAAATGAAAATTCTCATGCACAATATATGCCAAGTAAACAACAATAAAATTGGCTACAGGCACCAGCACTTGAGAGGAAGATAAAATCCTTGTGTCAAATATATCAACAGTCCTGCTCTAAAGAAGAAAACTGATCCAATGACCCACATATTCGTAAAACCACCAATCTGGCTTTAGAGATGGCAATTAAGATACAACCACTATCCACGATTAATGTCTTTCTGCTCTCCCTACAATAACACTTCTCAGCTAAAGCCAAGCAAAGAGCAATGTACTACAAAGTTGGATTGTATTACTCCAATTTAATTTCTTTTTCTTGGCATTAGCGCAGCCAACTTCTTAATCCTTTCTCCCTTCCCCCCAGAAAGAACAGTGATGCAAATATCCATCAATAAAGCTTTAAGAGGCATGACAAGCAAATGCAGTTACCTGTCATTACATATTCTGGGGCCGCATAACCATATGTCCCCATGACACGCGTAGAGACATGAGTCTTATCTCCTTCGGGACCATCCTTGGCAAGTCCAAAATCAGAGAGTTTGGCGTTGTAATCCTGTAAAACAGAAGGCAAATTTCAGCTTTTTCTTTTCCCTACTTCTGGTCATTAATCCAGTCCGTCATGTCTCATTTTCAAACATCTTGATGTATTCCATAGTCCAGGTCTCCTTTCTACTCATTTCTCAAAAATTTAAGAATGAAATAGTTTCACCGGTTTATTTGGAACATAACAAACCAAAAGGTAGCGAAAAAACTCAAGCAGCAAGATGCAACAAACTTAAGTAGGACTTAAGACTAGAAATTGTACAAGAACCGAAGATAGAGTGGGATAAAATTGAAGTTGGTTGATTCTTCCAAATATAAGTACCAATGAGAATATAAATTGCAAAAATGTTCAGCACATACCGCGTCCAACAGAATGTTTGAGGTCTTAAAATCACGATATATAACGGGCCTCTCGGCTTCCTCATGAAGGAATGCAAGACCTTTTGCAGCACCAAGAGCAATCTTCATCCTGATAGACCATGGAAGAGGCAAGGACCCTACAAGAGAAAACAGGTATTAGAGCTCAACACCCAAGCACGAATACAAAACCGGGATAAATATGTAGTGAAGCATTAGAGATCAAGCAACATTTTTGAAGCAGCAAAGATAAAACTCTTGATAGGACGTTCCAGTCACATTTCAGTGCAGAATATAACATGTTAAATGCAGACATATCCGAAACTTTAGATAACCACACCCAGCATAAAAAGTACAAGCAGGGCTACCGCAGTTTCCATTTGCATTCAACAAAAGTCGGTGAATACCAGAATGATGAACCAAGAAAATCAAATATTCCAAAAGTACAGGCCAACAAAAGAACTAGAAGTATGCACATAATTTGTGATAAGCTCTTCAAACATGTTCTCAGACAGCAAAGATTACACTAGCATAGGAGAACTATTGCAATCATCACCTACGACCTTTTAAACAAGAGATGATATTCATTAACAAAACATCAAGAGTAGTAGCTTACTCCTAAACAGGTGATTTTCCAAGCTTCCCCTAGGCATAAACTCATACACCAGCAACCTTTGATCATCTTCAATACAGTAACCAATCAATTTAACCAAATTAGGATGAATGAGATCACCAAGGAAACTGACTTCAGCCTGCCAAGCATGTAAATGTTAAAATTACTAAGGAATACACCTATAATAAGGAGAATCATAACCAAAGTGGATTAAGAAAGTGCCAAACCAGCCACTCTTTGTGACCCTGAAGCCCATCATGATTAAGAGTCTTGACAGCAACAGTTAACCCCGTCCCAGGTTTAACTGGCGCAGTTCCATTCTCTTCAATCCATCCTTTGAATACACAACCAAAACCTCCTTCACCAAGAAGAGACTCTGGCCTAAAATTTCTGGTCGCAAGCTTCAAATCATTAAATGTAAATTTTCGAAGCCTAGAAGCAACTTTTAGCTCCTCTTCAAGTTTTGATGTGGATGAATTACTTTCAGCTGTACTGGTGGCAGTTGAAGATATTATTGCAGTGGCTGGTTGATCTCGACTATTGTCATTCGCAGATTTACATTCTGCTGGCAAAAACAGTGAAGACGAAAGCAATTAGAAAAATATGTACTGTCCAAGGAAGCTGATCCAAGGAAAGCAATAACGTGTTTAGCAATTCGCCGAAAGTATATTGCCATCAGATGAAAGGTTTACACAACTTTTAACAGTTCACTACCAATTATGGTTTAGGGAAAACCAAGAAGAACGACAACCTGAATACATGAGGAAGGACCAATCTTGAAACTAATTATATAAACAGTACAGACAAAAAAAATCAACAGAAGCTCCAGAACTTTTATGAAAGAAGATTGTTCAGACAATAGAATATACTTGCATTGGTTCGAAGTAGAATTCACTTAAAACGGGGGACTCTTACTTCCTCGATCAGGGCTGAAACTACTAAAACAGTACAACCCCTCTATTAACCACATCCACAGTTGCATCCTCAGTTTACTCTCTGGAATGCCGTTGGAGTATTTTTGCACAGAACTCTGAAATAATAGAATATCTAACCCAAAGTATTTGCAAATGCAGACAAGAATGGGCTTCAGCAACCGAGTGGAATGCTTGAAATCAAATATATGACAGAAGGCCAATTTTCCCAAGAGTCACAGGACTCAACTCAGTTACTGTAACATGCAACATGACAAATTTAAAGCCAGAGGAGACAACAGAGATGAGGAAACACTGAAATTGACAGAAGAACCCCAAAGCTAATCAGTCTAATACTGCACCGAAAGGAAGTCCAGAGTGTGAAAAGGAATTACCATAGTGGGTACTCATGCCACTGATTGAGCTGTCCACTTTAGATCTTGAAGAAATACAGCTGCCAATAAACCTGAACTTAGTCCAGCATCCAGTATCCAAAGAACCATCTTTCTTATTCTTCTTCTTACCCTTTGATTTCTCCAAATCCCAGGATTCCACCTTTTCAGCTTCACCTCCCAATCCCATGTTCAACTACCTCCAAAACAGAACACTACCTCCAAAACAGAACTCAAATAGCATCCAAAGCACCCCAAAAAGGTACACTTTTTACCCCCAAAATCGCCCCTCCTCCTCCCCCTTCCCCAAAAACACAGAAAATGTTACAAATATAATCAATAATCAGCTCGCCTCTCCTAAAAATCCCTATATATTACAGCGCCATAGTAAAATCATCCCAAAAACCTCAATCCCAGTCCAGAAAATCAGCAAAGAATCTCTAAAAAAAACAATCTTTTACCACCTTTCTGTAAAAACCAAATTGCGGAAAGGGGTATTATCCTCAAACTTCCCCACGTTCACACCAATCCTTCAAGAACCCTCCAAGAATAATAGGAATAACTAAGACCCAGGTGGCAAATCCACCAAAAGATCACATTAAAAAGCTCCGAACGAGCTCAAATATTCAGATCACATGCTTGACCTACCAAAGTACGAAGCTTTGTCCGTAGCAGAAGACAGCACAGATAGATAGTGCTGGTAAGGAAGCAAAGTGAAAAAAAAAAAAAACAATCAGAGCTGGAATCAGATATAGATAATAATCAAAGTTCAAAAGCACCCCCAGAAATGTCTGCTCCTCAAAGATATTGAAATCCCAACTTACAAAGACAATATTCTGACCAATTCAATGCCCAAACAGAAGATAAAAAGAAAATCACATCCTCTATGTAAGTGTGCATATTGTAAAAATAAAAATTTAACTTTAATACAAAATGAAAAAAGAAATTTTTTATAAAAAAAAAAACAAAAAAAACTAAACTATATAGTTTTAAGTGAGAAAATGGGAATTATCAGCTCTTTACTTTAATTTTTAATAGAATCGAAGACCGGAAAAGTAAATGGGGGCTGCCCGGAGAACATGGGCATGAAGGTGAGTTCCCCAAATTGCCCACAGACGACCTGAACATTGATTCACTGAGGAGGGGTAGTTTCGGTAAATGAAGTGATAATTAGGACAGGAGGTGTCTGTCCACAAGGAGTGAGAAGTGGGAGTGACGGGCAGAACGGGCAAGAGAGAGAGTGATAGGCGGGACCCACATGTACGGTGACGTGTCCATCTCAAGAGTGCCGACGCCCAACACGCGCGTCAGGAATGATACCAACAGCTCTGTGCATGCATCTTCTTCTTCTTATTCCTTTTCCCAAATTTCATTCCTTTTTTTTTTTTTGGCTTTGAAATTATTTCACCTGTCTAATCAATAATACGAGTATTATTATCATTTAATTTCTCAAAAAAAGAAAATTCATAAATTTGGTGTCTATATAATATAAATATATATTCTATTCTTCTCAAAATGATTTTAAAAACGTTCATTTTAAAAATAAGAGAATACAAAGAATCTATAATTGTTAGCATTACAAGAATTTAGACAGAAAGTGATTGAAGTACTATTTCTTTTTTCTTTTTATGAATGTCTCTTTTCTACCTGGTTTGAAATGCACTCTCTTTGTAATTAACTTTGAGTGATCTTTTCGTATTAAACCAGTCTTGAAAATCACTTAAAGAAAACCCAATGGAAATATTAATCATTTATTTCGGGATTTTGGTAGAAACAGCCATACATGTAAGGGAGAAAAATAATACAATAAATTAAGGGAAAAGATGCAATAGTACTAGTAGTACATACAATGCTATCAATGTGAAGATTATATAATCATCACAATAATAAATACGATATAAATGCATTATGAGGACCGTTACTTGGTAAATTAATACAAGTACTTGCCGCATTGGTTTAGAATTTGGAGAAGGAAGACACATATGAAGAAAAAGATGAAGAATTTGTTGGACTGTTTTAACACAATAACAAATACGATTATTATTCCAAAAAAAAAAAGGGGGTTTATAAGTTATTTTAAAATTTCGAAGATGTTCTGTAGGTTTTGAAAGTGATAAATACGCTAAACTCAAGATGGAATGGCCCCCAAAATCTCATAATTCTATATGGCTTTCATAGATTTCCATAAGAAACCAAATCAGGTTGATTTCTTCCAAAAATTTGCTGATACATATATATAGAAAAAAAAACCCTTTTTTATTTCACACACTGCATGCCAAAAACGAAGATTCGAAAGCTTGGTTGGAGGCGTGGTCATAAAAGCCACTCTCTGCAGATAGCAACTCCCATCCCTGTCTACCCTTCTGACTTTGGACTATTATTATCATTAACTGTGTTCCTTCTATGAAACACTACAAGTTAGGAAAATGTTTATTTTACTATATCAACGTTACATAGTTAAGTCCTTGTACTTGTGAATGGTTAATCTGAAATGAGTGCAACCTAAGAAAAGAAAATACTATACTTAATGATATATGATTCTTACATAAATAAATTTTAAAAACCATTGAATTGTGTTTCATGTTAGGTTTTTTTTTTTTTTTTTTTTTTTACAATTCACGTTAGAAATTCTGATTAATCCTGACGTTACATAGTTGAGTAATTTTACTCGTGAAAAGTTAATTTGAAACTAGTGAAATTTTAAAAGTAGAGACCGCTATAAGTGAGGGGACACTATTCTTCTCTTACAAAAGATAACCAAAAAAAAAGGTGTGGATAAAAGAAAATCTCCATTGGTAGGGATCACATTCACCATTTCACTATTCTTTCTATTCCACAAATTGGTATTTTTCACTAAATATTCTTAAACTAAAATACAAAGTAAAAAAAAAAAAAAAACTTTTAAAAATATTACAAATCTCAAAATTGAATGCTTTTGGAATAGAATAAGTATTCATAGGGGAAGGCATGAGTTATAGTTAGTTGGATTTTAGCTACTTTTTACTAAATATTCCTCCTATAGTTAAATACTAATAAAAACTGATAAGTGTAGCTGAATAAGGGAGCACTGGGCACGGAAGAACATAGCGTGTGAAAGCTAACAAAAAATCTTTTAATCTGGTTCAGATTAGGTTTCTAATTACTACTACTCCGGATCGTATCAATTCCTGTTCTTCATGTTAAATAATTTTTGGTGAAGAATAGTTGTATGTTCTCCACCAAATTTTTTTGACTTTTTTTGATGGATTAACGAAAGCTCTTTTTCCATGTGAAGCGTTTTGGGCTTTGATTATTCGTTTGTTTTGGGAAAGGGGACGATGGCGTATTTGATTTTTCGCTTGTTTCGGTTCATATTTGATTCATACTAACATATACTCTTTACGTTCAAATTGATGATTATTTTATTCAGATATTTTAATATAATTATGTCAGAATTGATTTGGTGATCAAAATTATAGTACAAGAGCTTGTCTCAGTTTGGTCCTCCAGTTCTATTCTATTTCATCAAATTTTTGTTGTCCCTTTTCAGGTGTGATATATATTATACTTCCCAATCGACAATATTGATCTGTATGGTTTTTTTTAAGGTCTCATCAGGTTAGCCATCAAAATTCTAAAAACTATACATAGGCTGCTTGTTGCTCTTCTTCAGCTTGTTACAGCAGAAGAGAAATAAACTGCAACTATACAGTATATTTAAAATTCTAGGCTGGGCTGGCAGTTCATCATCATCTGCAAGAAATGAGGCCGCAACATTTGTCAAAACTAAAGTTGACTTGGGAGCTCATCTTAAACTATAAAAAATAGTATGTAATAAGGTGATGATGTAGTTTGACAAAACATATGTGGTTTCTCTCACAAATCCCTTCAATGTTGATTAAAACCATTTAATAAAGTGACCCTTGTGAAAGCTACTGTGTTGAAGTTGAATCCTCAAGTCCAAGTTTGTTTTTCTCTCTTATCATATTTTTTTTTTATTTATACCTTCTTGTTCTTATAATTATTACTATTTTTTATTTTTCTTTTGCCATTTGATTTTTTTTTTTAAGGATATATGCAACTGTTATAGAATAAGATACAAATCGCTACACTCAGCTACGTGCCTCTATTTAAAGAATCACACGGTGGGATGAGTTGTAAACTTATTGCAGTATATTCAACTCCACTTCAAAAGTTGAGTTCCATTATGGAACAAAGGCTTCCGAATACGAAGCTCTTGTCGTAATTCTTGACCCTTTCTTGGATAAACTGGTAGTTCATTCATGTAAGTTGCGTGCTCCATATTTCTTTTTGAAAATCCAAGAGACCAAAATATTACTACCTCCGTCCCAAAAAAAAAATAGCCCACATTGAGTTTTTAAATTTGTACTAAAATCAGTACAAAACTTAAAATTCAATGTGGACTATTTTTGTGGGACGGAAGGAGTACTTTTTTCAATCCCAAAATGATAAACTTATTTGTCTTATTAAACGGATACTAATCTAAATTAAATTCTTAGGACAGAGAGAACGTTATGAGAACACAAGTCAGTTTCGACGGGACTGCACTAGATTCATGGACCTCTGCTGAAGTAGAGAATACTGAGTCTCATGAACGATTTCGTAGCTTGTTTACATGTTTTTGCACCCTTTTCCAATTTCCCTTTGTCAGTACAAAATCAAATAAATCCGTACAAATCAAGATCTAACCAACAATAGTATGTAAAGTTAAAGCATTGGAAGATTGAAACATATGTCTAGCAGCAGGGACGAAGACGGTGATACAGGTCTCAAACGTATTCACTTTAAACAAACTCAAACCAAAAGTTCAATAGAATGGATGTAAGGTAATCTACAATCCAAATCCATCATTCTTTTACAGCTCTCCCAGTGGCTCTGGCTACTCCCTTGAGTCTACAAATCATACAGGTTAATGAATGTATGCTGCTCTGTAAATTCATGTTTAAGGGTCCATCAAATTCCATTCCTAGAACAGGATTGAGAGCGACCCCCGCATCTCCAAAGATGTGACTACCAAAATTGGTAAAAACATAAAGGTGTAAGGCAATTCGGAGTGGACACCATGATCGCCGGTAAATTCTTTAAGAACATGTTGCACCTACGGAGATTACTCAAGCTTGGGGAGACTTCATGACCAACTAGGACCATGAACTTTTAGACTACTCCAGTGGTAACACTCGTGGTAGCATTGATCTTCAATGAATGCTCCGGTACATAGGTAATCCCTGCTACAAACATGGTATTTCATTTATCTTTAGGATAATTACATAGACCATGAAGAGAGCATTTCTATTTGACTACTACTAAAACTTGTAGATCAATCTCGAACAGGTATACATGCAAGGCACTACACATTTATTATCCAAAAGTTGCACCAAAAACCCTAGAGTTTCTTCTTCTAATCATATTTTTGCATACATTCTTGCTTAAAAATCCCACAAATAGATTCTCCAGCTTCCAGGTTAAATCATACCAAATTTCTTCAAACATGCAAGACTTATCATCTCAGGAACAACAATTTATAAAAAAATATAAATAGAGAGAGAGAGAGAGAGAGAGAGAGAGAAGAGCCTGTAAATACCTTTCTCCTTGACACCAATCTGCAAAGAATCAAGAGTGATGATTCCATCCGTCAAAGGAAGTACCTCAAGCTTGACAGTTGCTGTAGATTGAGCTGGCACACACCTGTTCCAACAAAGTCACACATTTCAAGTGTTTGCAATCACATACAGCTTAAAATCAGTGGCATAAAAAGGTAATAATACTGTGTGTGTGGGTGGGTGTGTGTGTTATAGAGAGAGAGAGAGAGAGAGAGAGAGATTACCCAAGAGGCACTCTGCTCTGCAGCCAGAGATGTGTACAACCTACATCACTACTAGGAAGGACATCAGATATGGCAAAGTCTTGCTCAGTGAGCGAAATCGACTGAAATGCTTCACTTCTCTGAACATGATCCAGTACGGAAGTCTGACTATGCCCAGCACTGATACTGCTTGCAGTATTAACGTTTGTAAAGAAAGAAGCATTGAATAAGGGACTCATTGGTGATGACGGTGAAGAGCTCAATGACAACACAGAAGGAGGTGAAGTAAATGATGCTGGAGCAAGAACTGTCAATGTTAGATCTTCAGATGTCAGATTTGAAGCCTGAAGAGTCAACACCTGGCAGTTGCAAGATTCATGAATGATTTGCATTTACAAGAATAAAAATTACATTTGAAGGTCAAATTTAAGTAGAACCTGAACTGGAAGCTGAGCCACTCTTCCATCAGACCCAAGTGTTTGCCTTGACATTTGAGAAGCAACAGAGATCATAAGATCCCTGGAAATACGAGGTCTCCAGCTCGTAGGTTGCTTAAAGAATAACCTTGATTCTGAATGAACACATGAAATAGGAATATTAACAACATGGACTGATGTCGATTCCAAAATAATTAGTCAGAAGCAAATATAAAAGATAAAAACAATGTATACCAGTGTAGTTGCAGCGACAAGACACGAGGATGGCATAATGATCAGCAGAGGATCCACTTTGTTTTAATTCAGTATACGAAGAATGACGCCAGGATGATGTTGCACTCCCACCAGGTAAACTTGATATCTGAGAACCTTTTTGGTTGCAACTCTTAGTAGCTTTCCATAACGAAGCTGCTGGTTTGAGAATGAAGGAGTGTTCTTCACCTCTCCTGTAAAGTTAGTAAGATTTCAGAATTAAAAACCTAGAAAATAAACATGGCACCAATGCCTCATCAGAGCTTTAGTGGAAGCAATCAGCAGAGGTCAGAGGTGAGCAGCTGGGCAGCATAAATACCTTTACCAACTGTTTTCTCGGCCACTTGTGCCACCCTCCCCCAAAAAAACTAGTTTTTGAAATTTTTAACTCAACTATTTAAATAGACAGAATTTTAACTTAGCTTGAACATGAACCTTCACTATAAGTTTAAAAAGTTGAGGGGCCAAAAAGCTTCAAAGAAATGTTCAAGGGCCGGCCAACAGTGATTGATGACATAGTTGGAGGGTCATTCAAGTATTTATCCCAGAACAGTTTTTTACACGTTCTCATTTTGTTCTTGCTTTCTTATTGTTCTTGAGAATACAGTCTTGGCCAATACATAAACGGAGAGAAAGTAACCTGAGCTCCAGATTGGGCAAACTGTGCTCATCCCCTGCTTCAATGCAGGCAATTGGGAAACATAAAGGTGGACCAACACTAGAAGCTTCTTCATAGACGAGGGTTATAGCATCAAGATATACCACAATATCTGGTGTATGTGCAGGAGAAACATTCTGCAACAAAAAAAAAAAAAAAAATGATCCAGTGAAACAACTTTCTCAAAAACATAAATCAAGTGCATAAAAGATTTTAGCTGATCTACTTCAACAAATTGAAGACACAATTAAAAAAAGCTTAGCAAAACAGTATTACATGCAACTAACCTTTATTTGAACACAAACAAGATCATCAGTATTGCAATCAGCAGCAAAAGAATGGATATCTACAGGTTGAACTATTTCAATTTTCTTCCTCCACCGTTTTCCTGGTGTATAAATGCCTTCGAGACCACAGCGCACAGAAAATCTTTCTGGCTCCAACGACACACCTCGGAATGATAAAAGCCCCTCATTCTGGCTTTTTTGACCAGATTCACTTTTCTGAAACGAAAATTGATCCCTCTCATCAATTTCGAAGTTTGGTCTGGAACTGGGAATTGTAACAGGTGGAGCTGGAGAACTGTTTTGTGGCAAGGAGGACATAGAGTAACTTCTAAAGTTGCCAAATGAGAACATCTGAGAACCGGATGAGCCAGATGAACTGGGCTTAATAGATGTGCTGCGAATGCTTGAACTACTACTTAGCTGTGGTAGTGGTGGTGATAAAGGACGAGATGGAGGAGGAATTGAATTATCTAACGGAAGCAACCACCTTAACAATTCCCCACATGGATCATGATCCACATTAAGAAGATTTCTACCATCACTCTGACGAGTCAAACCTCTATCCTGATGCTTCTGAAATTGAAGAATTTCAAGTACAGGATCGTTCAGCAAATCAACACCAACATTTATCTGTAAAAGCACCTGCATCCTTCCATACAAGAAGATGGAATGAATATCAGTAGAAAATTAAATATAACCAAAATCAAAACTGGAGAAAATATCAGGGTATTAACAAACACAGATGACAGGACATCAGTTTCCAAGATTAAAATTGATTCAAGGGATTTTACAAATGGCTCCCTCCATTCTCATATTTTAAATGGCAGGAAAGCAAAAAAAAAAAAAAAAAAAAAGAGGAGAAGAAGAATTTAAAGCCCAGCATCGTCTGACAATAAACGAGTTCTGGAAACCTCTGAAATAATTATTTCATTCCACTATGGACATAAAAACCTCCTCGAACACTTTTGAACATCACGATAGTAACGAGATGTGAAAACAAACTAGCATCAATAACATTCCCAAAAACTATCACAAAACACAACAAATAAACCCAGGACATATCAATTTTCATGAAGTTCTAGACACAATCACAATGCTTATAAAGAAATTACATAAACCATACCACTATATCTCCATTCGATAGTGCGTGGCACTTGATAGCATTTCTTGCCAGCCCACCTGTAATGCTGGAATGAGTGTCTCCTTTATCCACTATTGCACTCAAGGAAATCTTCTTTCTCGTGGACATATTTTCTGAACCTCCTATATTGAATTTTTCGGCCACCTCAGAAGAATCCAAAGTTGCTTGGGAAGCTCTCCTTTTAGACCAAAGCTGCTCATCTGACTCCGCAATTCGAACAAAAAAATGAGAGTGATTGAAACTATGCAATAATGTTTCGATCTGTCTTCGTCGGTCTTCTTTCCTAAGAAGAGATTCACCATCAGTAATATAGTTTTGAGAATCAACTTGAGTTCTGCTTGGACTGTTCAGATTCACATCTTCACCATCACCACCAACGCTGGCATTCTGCTTGTTAGGACTTCTTCCAATCCCATTTTTATTCATCACCGCAGCAACCTTGAATGGTGTTATAATTTCCATATCCTGCTTAGAAGGTGAGAAACAAGCTAGTATATGAACTTGCTCACCTACATGAAAACAAGTACATTCATCGCATCAGAAGGGACAGAATTCCTCTTTTCAGGAAGCAAGCGGGTGGAATCAAGGGAGGGATACAGGCCAAGGGGAATGTAGTATTTCTCAGACATCATGATGAAAGCAAAGGCCGAAGCTTGAATAGAGAGACTAGCTACCTGGAAAAACAAAAGATCGGTCCATAGAGCGAAATGAAGATATATCTGGAGCTTCGCTCCAATCAGTTGGCAGTTCCTCTGGAAATTAATATAAAAGAAACAATTAAACCATCATCTTAAAACCTGCTGCATTAAAGGTAAGAGAACCCCACTGCCCAAATTCAGCAAAAGGAGATGAAAACATATGAAAACAGTTTCAGAATCTGTATTGTTTTTAATCCTGGGATATACAATCAAAGAGACAAAATCAACAACAAGAAACCAAACTGAAGTTTAATTAAACTACTTGATTATAATAAATCAAATTTGTATGCAGCAAAAGAAAACCCCAAATTTGTTTGATTGTCTCATACAGACCTTCTCAATTATGTCTACAATAGTAAATGGAATATTTCAAAGAAACAAGAGAAAGAGGCCATACTGTAAGGAATGGCTATCCATCCTTCGCCTTCAGCAACATCAATATGACCGCCTTCAATATGAGAGTCACTTTTTCCATTAGAGTGTTCAAAGCTGCCATTTTCGTAATTATAACCTTCAGTTTCTCCATTTCGACTTCCAGCCAACATAGTGTCGGGGAACGGATCCTCGGCAATGAGCCCCTCAAGTGTTGCCGTACGTTTCAAAGGGTGGGTTACCTCTTTCTGAATTTCAGGAGCAGAAGCAGGCGCGGAAGCTGCAGTCTGATTGGACCGCAGCCCCAAGAAATTCATCCTTTCACCAGAATTACTTTCTGAAACTTTTGCAATCTCCTAAACTTCTAGTCAGCAAATAAAAACAAACACCTCAAAATTTGGCTTGAAAGCAACATGATATTCAAAAGTAAAAAAAAGGATGAGCCCCACCAAGACTCAAGTTCTCAAGCTACTTTTTTTCTTCGCCTTTCATGTTAGCAAATAGAACTATAAAAAAGTTAAAAGTTACAGAAAAGATTTATATCATATTAAGTTCTACATAACTTGAAATACAACTTAACAGACAGTATTACAATCTCGCACTACTTAATTCTTGTTTCAACGACTATCAATTGCCTAATAAATTGCAATGTATCGTCCCCCGAAATTCTGGAAAACTTTAAGGAAGCACATTAAGGGAAGATAAAGTGACGAGAATTATAAATTTCCAAGAAGAATTCAGGCGTCAAATTGAGCAGATAATACAATAATTCCATCAATCGTGCACAACAAAGCTACATGTATTGTTCCAATCACATGAATAAGCAACAGAATGAAACAGTATTAGTTGGAAATGGAAAGTGATCGGAGGGCGGTGGAAACATCCACGTACCTGATCGGAGAAGACAGTAAATAGTGACGGAAGTTATTATAAGTTGGCCGACGGCGGGTTAGGAGGCCGGGTCGGTGAGGATTTAAGATCGGCAGCGGAGAAGCAGAAATGTGGAGCCTGGATCTGCGACGGATTCCGAGCATCAACTGTCCAGCACCAGTCCGGGACTTCTGTCAGTAGCGTTTTTTTTCCCAATTTTGCCTGGACGTGGGGACCACAGTCCAGGATTTTACTTTAATCACACTTATTAGTTGGGAGTAAAAATTGGTGAAATTGCAAAATTTGAAATGTGCTAGTAATTTTTCGACCCACACACATTTTGGAAGAAAAAAATGTTTATTGAGTTGTGAGATTTATATTGTTTTTAAGTATAATTACAAAAATTAACGTGAATTTTTTTTTTTTAGATAGAAATTGTAATATATCGCTATATTGTAATTGAAAGTTACATAAGGTGTACTAAAACGTGTAATGGTTAGTGATAAAATTCATAACCGATAAAATTCATAACCTAAGATTAAACATCATCATTTGGTAAATCACGTAATTCTTGTTTGAGTTGGCGGTACTTAAAATTTTCCATCATTTTATTGTGATGCGACACTAATACTTTAATAATCATCAGCAATGGACAATTATGGACTAATTGCTGGCCCCATTTTACTTCGGAGTGATCAAAGCCCAAGTTATATTTCCGTCATTGCAGTCGTGCTCATGACAAATGTTGGCCCATATCGATATCCATTCTCATGGTCAAACAACATTTCTGTAATTCAATTATAGTGTCAAAAGCATAATTTATTCGGTCTCTCCGTCCGTCTCAAAATTACAGTCGTATTTGTTGAACTGCAATAATATCATACGGATTAAAAAAATTTTAATACATCAGTAGTATTTCTACAAAAAATAAAAAATCAACCACTTGATTAAAGTGGAGAAAAAAAAGGCCACAATACTTTTTCTTTTTTGGTGTAATTCAGGACATTATAACGATTTTATTAATCAAAGTAAAAATATTTACATAAGATCGTATTTAACCTTACCTAAAAAAAAGAGAGAAAAGACCACAATACTTAAGTTCGAAGTTAATCAGAATTTTTTTCACTATTTGCAATGAGAAAAAAATGATTTGGAGGTGGATGTTGATAAACTTTTGAAGAAAACATGTTTGATTATTTCAAAGCGAGAAAAAAAATCGTAGTGGCAATTTATTGGTTCCACGAAAATCATCTATCTTGTTATATTATTTTTAATAAATTAAACTATTTTTCTTGGACGGAGAAGTAATTGAAAGCTTATCAAGAAAAAACAAAAAAACAAGAGATACGTCACTAAAAATTGAATTCTTATGTGGAAGTCAACGAGCAAAGTGGAGAGAGGTTTAATATTCAGGCAAAAGATTTTTCTTAACTTATAAGATGATTTTTTTTTTTTCTCTTTCATTGACTGCAAAAAATGACAATGATGAATGATCGTTTTTCCACGTAGTTATGAACTTTCTGGATATTAAATATTTGTTCACATGGTTTAAATTCATTCTTAAAATGAATTTATAAAAGGAAGATTTCCTTCTTTTTTCATGGTATGGGCGTTAGAATTTTCTGATTAATGAATTTATAAAAAATCTTCAACCTTGCATGTTCGTGGTCACGAGACATATTTCTACACTCTCTCTTCAATTGTTAAAATGGATTCGAGAGATAAGATTAGGTTGAAATATTGGGCAAAGATGAATAAAAAAGATTATTGATTATGAATTAAAAGTTTATTAGATATCTTCCTTTCATGATCGTGTATGATAATAATCTTTTAAATAAGAAGAAGCACAAATATTTGCTACGTATGTGAAATGAAAGGGAAAAATTAAACAGAAGCCATGAAGGATGATAATCTTCTAACAATAGCAATGACAGTAGAGATTAGGAGGAGCGTGGGTGAAAACTTTGCAGAAGCCACCCTTCCCGCAATTGCTTTCTCTGCAAAGGCTGTCGCAACGGGCGTCATCTGCGCTCCCTGGGTTACAACTCCCTATGTGGTTATCAAAGCAACACTTCACTCCATTTGCCTGCTTCATTTCTGCCACCCCCCCAAACAACAAAGTACGTAAATTCATTAGTTCTACAATTGAGAAATTTATAACCATTTTACTCGTTCATTATATTCATCAATTTGATTGATTACATTACACACACAAAAAAAACAAATTACCAGGGGACAACATTAGAACGACCAAAGCCAACAAGAAAAACGGGAGGAAACTCAATCTAGCCATCTCTTTCTCAACTCAACTGTGTAGTAGTAGTAGTAGTAGTATTTGTAATGATTTTTCTTGTATCAGAAATATATTGAGGCGTATACATAAATCATACCACTGTATAGTGCTCTTCTTATATAGAGGGTTTAGTCATGTTCTATTTTGAGGTAACTATTTTTCCGCATTAAAAATCAAATCTTGGTGATTGATTATTCACTGGGAATGGGATCAAGCGGGCTATTACTCTTGTATCATTCCAGATTTTGTCATAATTAATAATAATCAATGATGATTTGTGAATTCCCTAGTCGTCTGGGTTAATTGAGAGACAGTAATAATATTTGATGATTGAGTTGTATCTCCTAAACTTACTATACGGAGATTAAAGCGATGGACTGAATTTGATAATAACAAAGGATTAAGAACTTTGATTTAAAATCACTAGGCAAAAAACACGGGTGGGTCGGGACGTATTTCATTGAAACACCTACTATCACATAGTATTTTGTATTAGCTGTGGCTTGTGATAAAATTAGCCTCAGTTTTCTGAGTCGATGCCAAACCCCAAGAATTAATAAAATCCACCTTGAAGAAGTTTCTTTTTTTTTTTTTTTTCTTTTTTTGGTCTGCCATAATGTCAACCTAATTAGATAGTAGACATTAACAAATCAAATGTATAAGATTCAAATACATTTAATGTTCCATGACACGTGTCTTGGATAGAGGTTCTATCTTTCTCATTTCGCATTACACGCGATTTAGAGTTTAGGGTTTAGGTACCTTATAATTCGTGGAAAAAAAAGAGAGAGAAAAGAAATGAGGCTAGGCGACGGTGAGACACCGTGGTGGCAGTATCCAGGTTGATGATGATGATGAGGATCATAGGTTGATGATGAAGACGGGCCCAACGGATTGGACCACCACACAACACACAGACTGAAATTTCTGGGCTCAAATTAATTATAGCTTCGGGTTGGACTACACTGACTGGACACGTATGTGGAAATCCGCCGATGAGCGCCAATAATTGTTTGTTCAATTGATCTGGTGGTGGTGGTAATAATAATCATCAAATTTCAAACAGTAATATTATATACGCGGAAAAAGAAAAAAAAAACACAGTGATACTCCGTATTATTGATCCACCAATTTTGAAATTAGTGGAGCTAATTTAAGTAGTCAAGCTTCAAGCCTACTGATGGCACTGATTAACAACTTCCATTCTTTTGTGGTGTGTGTCTCTCTCTCTTTCTCTTTTATTTTATTTTATTTTAAGTACAATATACTTCTCGTGTATCGTTCCAAAATCTTTATCTAATTTTAAATCAACAATTGGGAATGGCAATGTTAATGTTTGGCCGAAGAAGTAATTTGTGGCGCATGTTACAAAATTTTTGAGTTTGGCGTAATTGTAGATGGTAGATTACGTTGATGAGGTTGATAAGTGGTAACGTGGATGGATAAGAATCAGAATCCACTTGCTCCTTGTTTTTATTAAAAATAATAATAATAATAATTAAAGATTCTTTCACTTATTTATTTGTTTTTCCATCTATTTCAAAATAATTGTTTAAAAAATATTTATCCAACAACAACGAATGACCACAAACTCAATAATCACATTGACCTGATATTTGCTATAAGATTCATTCATCTATGGTCCATTTACTCCTCTATGGCTCATTATACCAGTATTTTTAATACTGAAATTTACAATTTGTAATTTATAATGCACACTAATTTCCCAAGAAATGGACAATACTATTATCAAAGTAAGTTAAATTAACGGATAAGTTACACATCAATTACTACTATAAAAAAGAACATGCAGTATTAAATTCATTACTGGCTCCACCCATGAGTACTTGTTTTAGAAAGCTGAACGCACTAGTGCTTTAATCAAATTTAAAACAAAAGAGGAAATGCAATATTACCTACCCTGGATAGACAGTTTTATAACTGATGGAAATCATCTTACAATACCAAGAAAATAGAATCGTCATACAATTACGACACGAGAAATGTTTGTAAAGTATGCTACAAAATAGAGTCTTAGACCTTTTTTTTTTTTGGGGGTGCGGGGGATAAAATACAGTCTTATTAGCCTCTTAGGCCATTAATGATTGGGCACAAAGTATATGTATGTCGGTCTATTCCATTTTCGGACTGAAATATATATAAAGCTATAAATCTAATAATGGGATGGCTGTCTGAGGTGTCTCTCTTTACTGCATTTATACATTTACCATACAAAAGACACACAACGGCAAGAGAAAATATTTTCAAACATTGTAAAATTTTGTTTCAATTAGTACATTGTAACTATTAATAATTGGCATTACAATTTTGATTTTCCTCATTATAAAAAGAGCGCCAAGAATTGCTTGATATATGTGTATTAGGTGAATCAAGCGTATCTCTAAAGGTTTTAAGGACAACTTTTTAAAATGATAAGATGAAAAATTTTTACAAAAAAAACAAAAAAGAAGAAAAGAAAAAGAGAAGAAAGGACAATGAAAAAAATGACCCCTTTGCCGCTATTTTAATACTGTAATTTGATAAATAGACTATTAAGATAAAAATTTAGAATGAGACAGTAAGTCGGGAGAGTATTTTCATCCACATTCTGTTTGCGAGAATGGGTGATTAAAGTGTTGGCGAAAATCCGGTTAAATTTTTTCATTTGTGATTCTGCAACTTGAGCGAGTTTACGGCACACCCAGTTCCATTTCTTCATCCTTCTCAACTCGAATTATTTCCGTCTTTCATTAATTTAGGTACGTGAATAGCGATTGATGGGTATCCGTCAGTCTTTTTGGTTCACTCGTGAGGGAAACTTCTTCTTTGATATTTTTTCTTTTTTATTATTAGAGACGCACTACTAGACAACTCGAACAACTCGATAATTTACCAGAAAATTTAACAACCCCTTTGCTCTTTATGCTTTATTGGGCTGTTTCAGTGTGTAGATTCCACGTCTATGTGATATCTGTGGGCTGTTTGTTTGCTAGTGTTCTTGATGGCTCGTGAATTTGTTGACAAGCAGTACTGTATTGGTGGGTTGGAATTGAAATTGCGAATATAAGCAGCAGAAAATAGCTGAAACTGAAGGTGCCTCATGGGATTTTGCTTGTTATTTGACTGTAAAGGTGCAATCTTTAAGGTCAATTTTCTTGTGGTTGAATTGATATGGAATCACAGCTGGGATTGATTGAACAATCTTTTCATGTTAGATATACAGTATGGGTTAGGGAAGCACTCGACGAATTGAGTGATAGTTTTATCATCACCGATCCTTGCATTTCTGGGCATCCTATTGTGTTTGCTTCCAGTGGGTTTGTGAAAGTGTTTGGTTATTCCAAGGATGAGGTGGTTGGTAAAAATGGTCGGATGTTTCAGGGGCCTAAGACGGATAGGAGGTCGGTGATGAGAATTCGGGAGGCAATTCGAGAGGAGAAGGCTATACAGATTAGTTTGTGTAACTATAGGAAAGATGGTACTCCATTTTGGATGTTGTTTCATATGTCCCCAGTTTTTAGTAAGGATGATGGAAAAGTGATTCACTTTTTGGCAGTTCAAGTACCTATTTTTAGAAAGCATGGGGGCTTTGGTTGTAGAGTTGTGAGGAATGCTTCTAAATTGCCCGAGGACAGGACGGGAGTACATGACATTGTATTGAGATGCTGTCGGAGAGAAGTGAGCCCTCCTTCATCCACTGATTTCGGACGTGGATTGGCTTCCGAATACTTGATGAATTCAGAGGAGAAAGGTGCGCACTGATTTCATATAAAGCTTAATGTATACAATTTCCCAGCTATAACTCCTAATAAATATATGTTTTATCTTTGCAATTTTATTTGTTTATTTATTTATTTTTTGGGTGAATGCAAATTTTAGTTTAGACAACTAGGCTCTTAGTGATCCTTGATGCCCTGAGTGTTCTCCGTTTTGAACTTTGCTGGCTTAGTATGGTTGGAACCTTATTCTGCTTTCTGGAAGTATTGATGATAATTATTGTACAAAAACAATCTTCTATTTTCACATTGATACTTCGCGCACTGTTATCTGGGCTGGTGTTGCTTTGCAGTTTCTTTACAGGTTTCTGCATAATTTTGAGGGGATTCTGATTACTCTTGGAATATTAGTTTATCAAATTCTGTCATGGTAGCTTTGTAGCTGCATCTTTACATAATTAAGGATCATGCCTAATGGCATTTGCATTCACAGAATTGGAGGTTGATCCGCCTTGCGAGGCAACTGAACAGGATAAGGCAAAAGCTGCAGCTACTATTACCAACGTTCTATCTGTCTTAACACACTACAGTGAGGTGACTGGTAGATTGGTATGTGGAAAGCGATGCTGCTTATCTGGAATGGGTCTCATTGGGGCCTCCGCAAATATATCATTTGGTAGAATCAAACAAAGCTTTGTATTGTGAGTTGTTTAAATTTTCTGGTGCTACTTAATTGCTCCTGCCAGTTATCTCCTCAGTTTTGTTGATGTTTCTGCTTTCTTTCCTTTGCAACATTTCCTTTGTTTTGTAGAACTGATCCACACTTAGTTGACACGCCTATTGTTTATGCCAACGATGCCTTCCTCAGAATGACAGGTGCGTATCAATCAACAATCAAACTTTTCTACGTATTCCTACTGTGAATAATTTAAGCTTGAAGAACTTCTAAATTTGGTTCCTCACTTTATATATTATGTACCCACGTTTTACAGGATATGCTCGACATGAGATATTAGGGCGTAATTGTAGATTTTTGAGTGGGCCGGATACAGATCCAGCCACTCAATTTCAGGTTACTTTTCTGATATCTTTTCTTTTGATTCAAAGATTTCCTGCTAAGGAAGATGGATTGATAACTGTAACCATTGCTTAATTCTTTTGTACAGATCACGGAAAGCATCCGGGCTGAGAAATCGTGCACTGTGTACATTCTAAATTATCGGTAAGTTCAACAATTTTTTTCTTGGTTTTTCGTTGCAAAATAAGGTAAAATTGGAATTGAGTCTTTTTTGGCGTTAAACTTGCACTCTTGGCTGGCTGTTGACTGTGTCTAAACAACTATGTTTACTTTCCTATTCAGGAAAGACAAGACTGCATTTTGGAATTTTCTTCACATTTCACCTGTACGGAATGCTACAGGCAAGGTAAATTTGTTTCTTTTCTTAATCTCTGCACCTGTGGTGTCTGTGTTTTAATGCTGTTGTTGAATACAAATAATGTAGGGGACTAATCAAAAGCAGTTCTTCGAAATTATTGGTATTGATACTATCATAAAAGAAATGATGGCTTAAATGATAGGAAATGATTGGTTATCTTTTGTTTAATTTCTATGAGGTGGTACCTTTACTTATTTGCATGTACTATGTTAAATATGTTAGTTCTCTTCCCAAAACATGATTGCCTCTGGCAAGACAAATTGTTGATGTGCTATCATCAGTTGAAAACTTGAAGTAGATATGGAATGGGTTGCTCAAGAAAGAGAGGCTCACAATTATTGGTTACCCTGCTATAGTCATCAACTTTGCTGGTTTTTCTATTGTTTTTCTTTTTCCCCTTTTGTTTAGCACGGGCCTTGGAAAAATCATATAAACAACAAGCAGTTGAATAATGGAGGATATCCTTCTATTGTGCTATTTGGTACTTGCTATTTCTATCTCCATTCAGTGACCACATGTATTAGTTTGTAAAGTTCTTTTAAGTGCCTAATGTAAACTTCACATTTGGAAATGAATTCCTAAGGAGGATCCAGCAGCTTTTGAACTCTGGTTGGTTACTGCATTTTTTGCATACCGTCAGAGATGGCAATCTTTGTGCCGATATATTAGCTAGGGAAGCATTCAGTCTAGACAGGGATGCATATTTCTTTGATGTTTCCCCTAGTTTCATTGATGTAATCTTAGATAACGATTCGAGTAATCTAAGGTGACAAACTAGAATGAACTCCCTAGAATTGTCATTGTTCTTGGTATCATGACCTATTTATAGTTATGAATGCAATATAAACATAGACTTGTGATGTAATTGATACCATCTTAGTATGGCATCTAACTCATTTGTTTCCTAATTTCCTTTCGGTTCACTGGCTTTTGCAGGTGGCATACTTTGTTGGAGTTCAGCTATGTGATATTAGATACAATCAAGATCATCAAGGATTGCAACCTGAGATGCAACATTTAAGCGTTGTAGGCGCTGTCAAGGTCGCCATAAGGAGTTTATCAATGGTGGCGAGCACCTCTTAGCAAACTCTCCCCCTTTTGTTTATTGTCAACATCATGCTACATCTCACAACCTGGAAAGTCTTCCATTGTGTTTTGTCATGCATTGTAGATAAAAGGGAAGATTTGACGGTAGAGAGGAGTTCTTTATATAGAATGGGACCTTATTCGACTGATATTCCCTGGTCCTATGGAGATAGTCAAGAATAAACTATTCCAACTCAATGGCACAGCTTTAACTTTTCAAGTGACGGCTCTTCTCTACTTCAAAGTTATTGAGTGTGTTTTTTTATTTTTATTTTTTTTAATAATGTAGAAGCTAAATAGCTTGACTAAGGACGTCTACTCCTAAGGCTAGGAGTTAATAATCTATCTAACAAAAGATTAAATCTTGGGTGAGATGTGCCAAAATATGAAACTCACATGTCCTAGACTTTTTTTCGCTAAAAGATCCGCTACTCCGTTACATTCACGAAAACAAAGACTAAATCAAAGTACTAGACCAAGGTAAATCAAAGTCATTGAGTTAAAGACACTAAAAGTAAGATTTTGAGTACTGGATTGGTCTTATTTTGATACTAAATTGCCATGCTTTAAAGATCCTGATTCAAAACTGAGATGAACTAGCAAGAACATCTGTTTGGTGGATTGCCTGTGAAAACAATTGTAATGTAATGTTAAATTCAAAGGCTATCGTGCCATCTCTCTCCGATCATGCCTCAGAATGACTGCGAGAAATTATTTAGACAGATTGATTTCTTATCTATCAGAACTCATCTGAGCTGCCTTTCTACAATAAGGGCAGTCGCCCACGTTGCTGTAACCATGCATACAAGCAATAGCAATGGAAGCTTATCTCCTACCATGAAGCTTTCCAGACATATGTTGCATTCCTAAAGGCCATTCGACATTCCTTCCTTGCCATTCGTTCTAAGTATGCACTGACTTAATCTGTAAGAAATGTATGGATTAATAAGGCTTTAAGGTTTCAGTTTTGTTCTGATTTAAGTAATACCCTGTTGGGAATCTTCACAATGAGGGAAACTTTCAATGATGAACTGCCTGTGATTTTCTGCACTGCACTTCTACATCTGCTACATAAAGTTCAATATATATTACTCTTTGAATTGGATTTTGTAAATCATTTTTTTGGGAAAACTTACAAAAAGAACATATCTTGCAAATCAGATTTTGCAAGATATGTTTTGATAAATATTAAAAAAGTGAATATATTGAATTTTGCAAGCCATGTTTTGTGAAAAGTTACAAAAGATATCATAACTTGCAAATTAGATTTTGCAAGTCATGTTTTGAAAAAACTTACAAAAGAGAGTATAGCTTGTAAATTAGATTTTTCAAACCATATTTTAGGTAAAGGAAATGGTTCCAAATCACAGTTTGTTTTAAAGAAAACAAAATGTTAGTTTCGAACTCTAATATGGCTTGCATAATTGTAATAGAAAAAGTACTCATATATTTTGGAACATTGGGAGATCTAATCATATATAACTTGTAAATTAGATTTTGTAAAACATCTTTTTGGATAATTCAAAAAAGTGAACACAACTTGCAAATCTGTTTTTGCAAGCTACGTTTTAGGAATTTTCAATATTTAACATAACTTTCAAATTAGTTTTTAGAAGCCATGTAAATAAGTAAATATAGTAAAAAGTATACTTCATAAAAATATGAAGAATCAATAGTAATTGTAAAAGTGAGACATCATATGAACATAATTTGTTATTGTCTAGTAAACCATGTATTAGGATAGGGTTATGCTTTATTCAAGAAAAAAAATAAAGATGAACATAACCAACAAATTAGATTTTGTAAGCTACATTTTAGGATAATTTACACAATATAAACATAACTTACAAATCATATTTTGCAAGCTATGGTTTAAGATAATTTACATTAGTGAACATAACCTGCAAATTAGATTTTGCAAGCCACGTATTGGGAGAATTTATACAATATAAACATAACTTACAAATTTATTTTGCTAGCCATGTTTTGAGATAATTTACACAAAGTGAATATAACTTGTAAATTAAATCTTGCAAGCCATATTCCGGAAAAATTTACACAATATAAACAAAAGAGTTAGGAGCCGTACCGATATGGTATTCGGTGGCCATTTTTATCGCCTTCAACCAAGACCCAAAAAGATATTTTAAAAGCAAAATTGAAACAGAGCGTGCGCAAGAAAGTAGTAAAATTCAAAGCACATAATTCTAACCTATATGAAGTAGAGGATGAGAAGAACAAAATTGTGGACGGGTGTATATAGGGAAAAGGAGTGGAGTTTATATAGTAGTCCTAACAGGTTTATTTTAAATCAATCAATAAATACATAATTAATGATTTGTAATCATTTCCTATTTTTAAAAAATCAAATATGTAAGAAAAAAAGTCTATATTCAATCATAATATCATTCACTAATTATTTTGAAATTGATTATAAAAAATTTTCAAATCTCTCTCGAATCAAAGTATAAATGGGCAATAATCTGTGATACTTTCTTAATTTTTTTAAACCAAATAAATGTGGAGAAAACGTCAACATTCTAGCATAATCATCATTTCCTAATCATTTTCAAATCATTTAAAATAAAAGTTCCATGTCTTGGTCAAATCATTGACTAAATGATTACTAAACTTAACGATTTAACGATTATATGAAATTTTTGACAAAGTGAAATATGTAAAAAAAAAAAATATTAATGATATAAATTATAATTTTATAATTTTTAATGTCAATATGTTTTGTTATTTTAAGTACATTTGGAAAAAAATTCAATATTCAAAATCATCCAATGTACTTTATTGTTCATTTTTTTTCATTTTGTTGATTTATGGATTTATATCTTCTAAAAATATTATCTTAATTTTTCATTATGATCTAAATATTTCTATGTGTGTCAAATCTTTAAGCTCTCCCTCTAGCAGAAAAGTTTGTCATTGGTCCTTTCTATAAACTTATTTTTATTTTACATCTTTATATATCTTTTGCAATCTTTCTTTAGAAGTTTGTTCGTAAATTTTTCATATATAATATAATGTTTATGTCAACTTTTTTAGGTTGCATAGTCTTTACCTTTGTTGTTTTTTTTTTCCCCTAAATTTGATGACTTCTCTTTACAGTTTCATTTCTTGAAAATTTTGAAATCATTATTTCATTTTTCACTATTACCTCTGTGTTTTTTTATTATATATTTTCTTATTGTCTACATAAAAAAGGAAGAAACCCGAGTAACGGTTACACATTAACACATAAATTAATCATTGAATGGGTTTTTTTTCACATCATGGCCCTTTTTTTCTTTTTTTTTTCACATTATGATTGGTTTTTTATTTCAGTTGGTTAGTTTTGTATTTATTAGTTTTAATTTGTTTTTGGTCACCTTTCTATTTTACTATTAAAATTTACTGCTTAGTGTTAATCTCTCAATTAATTTAGTCTTATCTATAAATTTATAATTTTACGTTCAAAATTACCATTAAATGATGAAGTGACGTGGTTGCGATATTTGGACTTGACTATTTATATTTTTCCATGTGGATTGCCATGTCTAACCTTATCTCATGTGTTCGATTGAAAACTTTCATTATATATATATATTATAATTTTCATAATGATTTCTTTAAATGTTTCTACCGATGTCATATTTTTTGCAATCTTTCTTTAAAAGTTTACTTGTATATTTCTCCTATAATATAGTGTTTAGTTCATTTCTTTTCCTTGGTTGCATAGTCTTTACCTTTTTTTTCCCCTAAGTTTGACGACCTCTCTTTAAAGCTTTAATTCTTGAAAAAATTTACTATTATCACGATTTTTTTTTCTTATTCTCTATGTAAATTTTACCTTCATATAATTTTAATCTAGGTTATACTTTCATGGACTAAGCTAATCAATATAATTGGATCGCATTAGGGCTGTCAGTTAATCGGGTCGACCCGAAGACCCGCCTGAACCAAACCTGTTTCAGGTCAAACGGTTCGGCTAATCGGGCGAATTCGGATCTATGCAGGTCCCGATTAACTGTAAAACATATCGGTGCGGGTGCGGGCGGTAGAGATATTACATCGGGCTCAGCCTGAAAACCCGAAATAATTTTTTGTTTATTATTTTTTTTAAAAAATATTTATATACCTAGGGTTGACTACTTCTATCTCACCCTTTTTTTTTTTTCTAGCCGTCGTCCTCCTCTGTCCTCCAGTCCACAATCTCCCTCTCTCGGCTACAACTCCCCCTCAACCAAACTTTCTCCACCTCTCTCGGCCACAAATCCCACCCCCAACCAACAACAACACTCTAGCTTAGCTCCTATCTACAGAATCGACGGCGGCCGGCGGTGACAACTTCCCCTTCACCACGATTCAAGCGGCGAAGGCTACAACTTCCTCTTCTCCTCTCTCTTATATTTTTTATATTTACTTAGATCTCCATCACATATTTCAGCATCTATTTGTTTTTAGTGAAGGCGTTGATGAAAGATTTGTTTTTTTTGGGGACTACAGCAACAATTGCCTATTGCTCATATCAGACCTATTCCAGCATCTATTTGTTTGGTTTTTTTCATTTTTTTGTTCTTTTTGAAAGGATTTTGTAGGAATAATAAGAATTTGTTGTATTTGTGCGGTTGTTTCTTTGCAACTAAGTTTTTGCTGGCTAATTTTCTGGAGGAGAAAGTGCTAAACACTATACTGATGACTTGCTCAAAAAAGAAAAGAAAAGAAAAGAAAATTATGCGGGTGAATCGAAACCGAACCGGAAACCCGAATTTTTTTGGTCGGTTTGGTTCGGTATCGTAGACTTTGCGGTTCGATTTTGGGCGGGTGTTGTGAGAAGAAAAAACCGATTAACCCGAACTGAACTCACCCGAACCGACAGAACCCGCCCAAACTGACAGCCTAGATCGCATGTATTTGTAAGAGATGTTTGGACAGGGTTTACACATTATTGTGTAATAAGTATATTATTATCATTATTATTGTAATTTTTTTTGTAATTGTTACACAACGTAATCGACAGTTAATCATTTATTTTAGTATTTTCCGTTATTACCTGTTAGTATCAACTAAAAAAAATATAGTACCTGATAGATTTTTGAGAAATTTTTCAGTAATTTAGTTTTATTTATAGGCCGATGAAGCTGAATTATTCTGAATCTTTTTAGAGGATAAATATTTTCAATTTATTACAATTATAATTTTTATACAATTATGAACAATCATTAAATCAACGACCAAAACCTGACAATGCTAATTTCTAATGAGAAATATTAAAATAATTTTTATAATGCGACGGAAGCTATATGTTGAATAGGGATAACATGCATAGTATATTATGCATCATAATTTTGGGGACATAAAATCATCATAATAATTATAATAGTGTTCAGTTATATATGATGGGCAGATGTTATTAACGGTGCGGGCAGTGTTCTTTTCTGTTAATTTTTCAAACTTTATTCCGAAGGACTTAGACATTTAGTTTCTGTTGGTGGTTTCATGAGTGGATGGTTTCATTTATATATATCAAAAAATCAGAATTTTATTATATTGTCGATAGTAGATTATTCAAGTTTACAATTAGATTGGAATTTTTATGATGGAGTGGGTGGATGTTATCCGAGACAATTAGTTAAATATGTAATAAAAATTAAATTTTTTTTTATACAAAGTAATTTAGTTTTATCAATAAATTACGATTTTACATTAAAAAAATTACCATTAAATGATGGAGAGTTGTGGTTATGACATGTGGACTTGGGTATGTAATTTTTTGCCACGTGGATTAGCTTATCTAATATCGCGGCATGTGTCCGATTGAAAATTCTCCTTTAATGTATATTAAAGATATATAGATTCTATACAAAGAATTCTTTTCTACAGTCAAATCTTCCCTTTTATCTACAATGCGCGACAAAACACGATAGAAGATTTTCTATTTTGTGAGATAGCATATATTGTTGATAACAAATAAAAGGGGAAGAGTTTGCTTGGAGGTGCTCGCCACCATTGATAAACTCCTTATGGCAACCTTGACAATGCCTACAATGCTTAAATGTTGCATATCAGTCTCGAGCAGCAAGCAATTTAACTTGTCAGTTTGGAGTTGACTAGCAATCTAGATTCTGACAGTCTAAAATATGATTAGCAATTGAGTTTTTGCCGGTGGTGGTGATATTGATCTTTAGTTTGGGAAAAAAAAAATAATCGGAGGAAAGAACAAAAACCCTCAAAAAAAAAGAAAAAAAATTCAAACGTCGGACTTTTGCTTATTTGTTATCTATTTAGACAGAACCACCAAAATGGTGATTTAAAATTGGCCAAAAATTTAATTTGGTCTTACCTTTACATTTTCAACTAATATGGTCCTTTTATCTTATTTTAGTATTTCACATTTGGTTTGATTAATTTTGAGTCAAGTCATTGTGTTCTGCTGATGCTTCCATAAACTTTCGCCTTTCCCGACTTTTTACAGTGACGAAAATATATGGAGATCTAAGCTGAAGAGCCATTGAAAATCTTTCAAACATCCATGGAGTAATTGGTTGAAAATTCTTCATTGTCTTGATCTTGTTCCAAGGGGTACAACTTAATTATTTGTTTCTTTTAAGAAATTTAAAGCTGAGACGAGCAATCAAAGAGGATCAGTACTACTACTACATTTTACAAAGACGCAGCCCAGGTCCCTGAATCTTTGTCGGTGGCTTAAATGTGAATCTTTTGGCTGCAAAATTTGTTTGTGTTACAACAGGATGGGTACTGACGTTCTGTAGTCTATGCATCACTGGCTGTGTAATAAATGTGAGTGGTTTTGCACCAGTGTTGGGAAGAACACAAGGCCTGCTTGAATTGAATGTCAGCCTGCAAAGACCATCCATTTAGACCACAATACAGTAGAGCGCTTAAGGGATAATGGTTCCAATTCCTAGTTCAACTCATTTTCCACCTCGGTCAAATGTCGTAGCAGAGCGCTTCTATTTATATTGGCTCTTCGTTTTGCCACTGTATTTTATGCTTTTAAAATGGTGCAAAATGTAGTCTATTTATCCTAGGAAAGAATAACTTGCTCAAGTGGTTAGTGTGTCGTCTAAATTATCATTCGACCAAATTACTCAGTGTCTTCACAATGAATGGTTGCTGCAGATGCTAGTGAATTATATAGATGGTTGAAACAGTTAGTTATTCATACGCTACCTGATCTAGGTCGGAACTCGATTAACGACTTGTAAGGAGCTTGGATGGAAGGCTTCATCGGCTAATTATCGCTATTGTTCATAACATCTGACTGGATTGAGAGTGACTGAAATGACCCGTGAATATTCCATGATGCATGAGTGCTAGCCTCTACAGGCTAAATTTAAGTACCGCCGGGTGAATGAACAATGGATGGAAGATCTGGATCACGAGAAGCATTAGATAGGTACAAAATACAAATACAAGAGACTACAAAGTGACTCGAGTCGAAGAACAACGTATTGTACTTTAGGCATCCTAATGATGTTAATCCTCTGTTTCATCAAGTCCAAAGCACGAAAAAAGGATTAATATGCTTGCCGCCTTGGTAACAATACTACTAATCGGAAATCACTTACTGAGAATAACAAGGCACATTATTGGCAATTTGGCACAAAAAAAATGAGCAAACCTATCCAGGCTCCAGCCAGGATATAGTGCAGTAGTACAATCCAGAATTAGTAATGACTTACAGCTCTCTCCATTAATGCGCCTGCTAATCAGACCGTGGATTACAGAAGAAGGAGTGAGTATTCCATAATTCTATGCACTTCGGTCAATAAGTTTCCCCTGCTGCTACATTCCCAGTTCAAATTCATCAAACCTTTTTTCCCAGAATTTGAACAGACAGATATGGAATTACAGAATCCCCTGTCTTTGATCTTCTTGAGTTTCTTGATCATCATAATTCAGTTTCCAATCTCCATCCATTCATCAAGAATATCTCAGCCGGGTAGTATTCAGACCCCGATTCATCTTCACCCCTTACTGTCTCTGGAAACATCATTTGGAGGATCGTTTGATGTTCTAACCGCAGCATCCTCTCCGAACAATACTCCGGCGACCACCTCCGGCGGTTTATGGATTCTGTTGCAGAAGAACATAGGCGTATCGGCCATGCATATGCAGCTTCTCCACAACGACAAAGTCATCATCTTTGACCGCACCGACTTTGGTCCCTCCAACCTTTCCCTCCCAGGCAGCAAATGCAGACACGTTCAGGACTCTGTTTTCCCAGACTGTACGGCCCATTCGATTCTCTATGACCTTCCCACAAACACTTTTCGGCCACTCATGGTACAAACCGACGTCTGGTGCTCCTCCGCCGCCGTCGGCTACGACGGCACTTTAGTGCAAACCGGCGGTTACAAGACCGGAGCTAACAAGATACGGCTGTTCACCCCTTGCCATGATGATCTCTGCGACTGGATTGAACTCCCACAGAATTTGACTTCCCGGCGGTGGTATGCGTCCGATAATATACTCCCCGACGGCAGAATCATCATCGTCGGAGGTCGGAGAGCTTTCAGCTACGAATTCTTCCCCAAGAATCCGACGATTACGGCCGACGCCGGAGTTTATTGGCTTCAATTCTTGAAAGACACCAACGACCCAGGAGAAGAGAACAATCTTTATCCGTTCTTGCACCTTTTGCCGGACGGCAACTTGTTTGTTTTCGCCAACCAGCGCTCAATTGTATTGGATTATGTGAAGAACCAAGTGGTTAAAAAATTCCCGCCGATTCCGGGTGAGAAACGGTCGTACCCGGCTTCGGGCTCGTCAGTGATGTTGCCGCTCCGGTTGGCCGGAGGAAATGGGCTAGAGTCGCCGGGACCAGAGGTAGAAATAATGATCTGCGGTGGTGCAAGTGGCGGCGCGTACGTGCAGGCTCACTGGGGCGTGTTCGTGGAAGCTTCGAAGACATGTGGGCGGTTGCGGATTACGGATCTGGATCCTCAATGGAAGATGGAAGAAATGCCCACGAATCGGGTCATGCCCGACATGCTATTGTTACCAACGGGTGATGTGCTGATGCTGAACGGCGCCGGAAGGGGAACCGCCGGGTGGGAGCTGGGGGACGACCCGGTTTTGAACCCGGTCCTTTACAAGCCCAACGAGATTGACCCGAGTAAGAGATTTAGCGTCCTGGACCCAACTGTGACACCAAGAATGTACCACTCCTCTGCGATTCTAACCCCATCTGGAGGAATATTAGTGGGTGGAAGTAATCCTCATCAACTGTACAGATTCACCGGGGTGAAATATCCGACGGATTTGAGTTTGGAAGTGTTTCTGCCACCGTACTTGGCGCCACAATACTCTGAGCTTCGGCCTTCAATCCTGTCCGTAGAAGAGGCCCTGGACAATACCTTATCTTACGGTCAACAATTCTCCATCACGTTTACACTGTCATTGTACCATAATCAAGGAGGTGAGGGATTCAATGTGACCATGATTAGGCCATCATTTACGACGCACTCTTTCGCGATGAATCAGAGGCTGTTGGTGTTGGAAAATGTTGGGTTCCAGCAGTTGTCTTTGAATGGGTTTAAGGTGACAGTGTTTGCGCCGCCGACGAGTAATGTTGCACCGCCGGGGTATTATATGACGTTTTTGGTTAATGATGGAATTCCATCCACTGGCTACTGGTTGAGAATCAAATGATTTTGTTCAGTTAAATTTTGTTTAGTCTTTTTGGAGTTTTTTTTTTTTGTTTTTTTGTTTTTTTTAGAGCTTCGTTTAGAGGTGCATTCTCTTTTTTGCAAAAGCCAAAAGGGTGTTCATTTTGCACTTTGTTTTCTAGATTTTGTTGGATACTCTGCATTGGCAAATGCGGTTTGCCATTGATTATTCATCAATTAAAGCCGAGTGTGTGTGATTAACAACCATCATGAAATAGATTAGGCCAAAAAGTGTTGCGTATTAATTAATTTGGTTGTTAGGAAAGTCCATACACTCCAAATCCAAAGTCCAAACCCTCCAAATTCCATATGCCTGAATTGATCATCATTTCGTTCTATATATGATCAGACTTTCAAGTAATCAAAAAGGTTTTGAGCTCTCAACTTTCCACTTCTTAGGAGAGGCTCAAATCTCATGGTAATAATTAAAGTCATTAACTCTGATTATCTTTATTACATTCCATTCAAAACAATATTACTTCCACGTCCAAAATTAAATATTTTATTGATTTTAAACTTCATATGAAATTGTTTGAATACTCCATATTCGTTGGTCTCATGAATGGAAAAATGACATTTGAATATTACTTACCAAATTAACTCGTGCAGTTCTGTATGAAGAATTTAATTTGGTTTCATAAGCATTTGACAAGTTATATACTACCTCTGACCCAAAAAAATAATCCACATTGAGTTTTCAAATTTAGGCTCTGTTTGATAATCACTTAATATAGTGACTTAATTTATTTAAGTACTTAATGAAATTAAGTGTGTTTGATAATCATTATTAAAAAGTCTTAATGAATTAAATTCTGAACTAATTAAGTACTTATAAATTAAGTGCGTTTGATAATTAAAATTTCACTATCTGAATTAATTAAGTGCGTCTGAATGTTCAGTTCAATTGTGAGCCAGAAAATAAGTGACAGACCTACCACTTATCACTTATCACTTAATTTCTGTAATGACTTTTTCTTTTCTTTTTTTTTCTTTTTTTCCTTCGTCTTTATTTCGACGCTTATTTTTACATTATTTTAAATTTTTTATTTTCTTAAGATGAATTAATTAAGAGTGCTTAAAATTGAATTTATATTATGAGTATAAAAGATATCAAACTTTCAAACTCAAATTAAACTAATTTTAATACATGAAATTTGCTAAATAACAAGGTATACATATATACGTAATAATCTAAATTTAATTATATATTGATTATTTACCAAGTGTAATATCTACTTTCATTATATATACCAAAAACTTATTTTAAAATTATGATTATATTATTTAGAACAAAATATTAGTGATTTTTCTATTTAAAAGAATTTTGTTTATAATTCAATTTTAATTATATTAAAATTTTAAATAACTTTCAAACCTGAGTATGCAAATTCAGTCTTCAGACTTCAGACTTCAGTCTTCAGACATCAAATTCAGACGTTTTTATCAAACAATGTAAATTCAGTCTTCAGACTTCAAACTTCAGTGTTAAGTGTTCAGACTTCAGTGATTATCAAACGGAGCCTTATACTAAAAACAATGCAAAACTCAAAACCCAATATGGACTATTTTTGTGCGAGGGAAGGAGTATTATGCAACATGACATCTAGTTGATTATCCCTTGTTTTTAAGTTTCGTGGAAGTGTTCAAGATTCACAATTGTATCCATTCTTGAAGCTGGGAAAAAAAAAAAGTACTTACAGAACTGAAATTGTATACAGTATCTATAAATTGTATATTATGAATTAATTGTTGTCAATTAGTTCGTCACTTAAAATATAATTTTTATTAAACCCCAATGAGCTAATTCCTTCAAATTATACCCAAGTTACTTATTGATAAACTCAACAAAATTTAAAAAGTAAGTAATCAAGTATGAGGAAAAGAGAAAGAATCGTTTTTCGGAGAATTAGAGATGCACTAAAGCTAACACAAGCTTAACGTTTTTTAGCATCTGGTATATGTAGCAGCAGTAGCAGAATGCGCAAACTCAGAGCAGCTTCCAAAAATAAGGGGAAAACAAAAAAAGGCAGATATGGAGATGCGGGGTATCGATCCCCGTACCTCTCGCATGCTAAGCGAGCGCTCTACCATCTGAGCTACATCCCCAATGTCTAATGAGTTATTTTTAATGTATTTATTTGGTATTAAAAGTGCATGAATTTGTCCACCTACGGTCCCAACTAATTGACATATTGCTTTGTTTAAAACGATAATATTAAAGGTGAAAATATGATTTCTTCCTTGTTTAAAAAATTTGAAAATTAATGAGGCTACTAAACAAATGTTGTAGTGTAAGAAAATCAGGAATCCCATGTGTAAATGTAAATTATACGACAAGTTATCCATGAAAAAGAAGAATTTATAAGGTCAAGTTAAAGTCTTAAAGATTTGAAAAAAAAAAATACAAGTAAAAATTTCACGGCATGATATATATACATCTAGCACATGATGAAAGTCTTTTAAGCATGATATACTCTATTCAAATCTAGCACATGATGTCATGAACTTTCAATGAATTTGCTGCATGACGTTTCTGCGATTAAAATTGGTTTTGGAGGTCTACCTGTATTTATCAAACTAATAATTCTTGTAAGTTAATCTGTCAAACTCAAACCACCGTGAGAATGTTTCAAAAAAAAAAAAAAGAGATTCCCCCATTGAACAAGTTTTTGCATTGATGTTACAAGATGAATTTCCAAACCTACACTTTTTTTTTTTTTTTGCTTCTTTTTCTTAATCCTCTTGCTGACTCTGCAATCTGAATAACAGAAAATGCAGCGAATCATTGGACATATTTACAGCCCCAACTAAGACTGCATGTATTAATACTCTAATTTTTTTTTAACTTCATTGCTGCCCAAAAAAAAGACCACTATAAATTTTCAATTTTGCAGGACGCTCTTTGCATTTGCATATTGAGAATGCTCCTGAGTGGTAGTATTAATACTCCTAACTGATCTATATTTGTACCTCATTGCCCAAAACAAATAGTGCAGCAGATTCAACACACTCAACACACACATCAGCCAGTAAAATCTCTCCAGATGATAGTGATTCAAGTTCCGGCCCGACAGCCAACCCGGATGCCCCGAGTTTCCGGTGGCGCTGTTTACGATGGACACCATCACCGTGCTGAGATAATACCCCATTGCCAATGATGCCCAAGACAGAGAAGTCGCCAATGATCTCATGCTGGTGGGTGCTTCCGTGAAGAAAAATTCCAGCAGTCCAGCTAATGTGAATAAGTCGGCTGATCCCAGAAACAGGTACTGAAATGCAATCCAGAAGAATCTAATTGGCAACGGTTCTGCCGAATCGAGCAACCCTTTTTCGGTGGCTACCCTCTTGCGTTTGATCTCAACTAGAGCAGCCACCGCCATTGCGACGATTGACAGGACTAATCCGGTCCCGATTCGCTGCAAGTGACTGATTCCCATCTCTGTTTTGGTCGCTCTTCGGGCGAATGGGACGATGACGTGATCGTAGACAGGTGCGAGAATCATCATGAAGACGACGGGGAAAATCGGAAGGGATGCTGGAGGGACTTTTAATGATCCGACTTTGGTGTCCATGGTGGCTGCTTGTTGTACCGAAAATGTGGAGAGCTGGGCTAAGCAGCAGTTGAGAATGATCGTGCAAGCGAAAATGGGAAGGATTTTGAACACGATTTTGACTTCTTCCACTTGTTGTACCGAGCAATTGAAGGAACCCGGGGTGTTTCCGACAGCTCTGTTTAGGAAACTAAGACTTGCTGATGGAGTTTCTTGCTGAATTGATGGTTGTTCTGCAACAGTGATAGTACTCTTCAGAGCTGGTCCTGTGTCTTCCTCGGAGACTGGAGTTGGTGAAGGGCTTGTTCCCATGTTTACTATGGCATTGCTGGAGTTCTTTGATTTACCACAATTCAGAAATGCAGCCAGTAAAACCTGTTCAATCAATGTGACACTTATAAGTTTTAAGGGTTCCGTTTTAATTACTAGTGTAACAGAGTAGCAATGGTAAGAGTAAACTCGCCGTATAGTGAAATGTCTCAAACATGATTATTCTTGTCACACGAAGAAAAGTGTATGTATATTATGTTATTTAGAGAATCGCATCTCACCTTAGCAATTGTGGTTATTGGACTTCCGGATGGTATCTTGTTACGGTAAAATGTGGATCCAAGAAGGAAGACTGGAATCGACAACAAAATCGCCAATGTAGAAATCCCAAAACCCCATTGCCAACCCTTGTTATCTTCAACCCACACCACCAGCGTGACCGCAATAAGAGCTCCACATGACAGGCAAAACACGTAGTAGTTGAAGAAGGTGGATCTCTGCTTCCTACCCTTTGGGCTTTCCTGATCGAGTTGCTCCGCTCCGTGAGCCGGTAAAGAGCCCTTGATACCTCCAACACCTAATGCCACCAGGTAAAGCCCAATGAAGAGCATCGCTGCTTGTGCGCCATGAACTTGCTCGCAAGGGCTGTTGGGATTGGCAGGGTCACATTTTGGTGGTTGTAGGGAGCTTGTCCTAGCTTGAATTGTGAGTATCACCAGCCCCTGTTGCATGCGGCATTAGTCAACAAAATTTCATCTCAAGAAGTTAAAAACTTGTCGTTTTTTACAATTACGGTTTGTAATTTTATCATTGTCTCTATCATCATTAACTGACTTTTCAAAAAAAATGTAGTACAAGAAGTTTGATACGCAAGTACAATACATGTACACAATAACTTCTTGTGAAAGAGTGCTCATGAGTTGAACTGTGGCGTAAGTCAAAGGAAAAGAATTTATGAATATTGATTAAAACTATCAACTTCATCTAGAAACCAAATCCAGCTGGCTAATCGAGGCAAAACAAATATCAGAACCAGGCAACAATAAGTGTGCAGTAAAGAAGCCGCCTTCTTCTTATTGTTTGTCAAACTTTCACGGGAAAGGCAACTCGTCTTTTTTTTTTTCCTTTTGACGTCCACTTTAGAGTTTAGACCTCCCAATTTTGGTAAAATTTACATATTCCGCCATTTTGTTGCTAAGAAAAAGAAAGTGACACATCCAATCCAACAACAGTATTATTGGTAGGGTAACACAACCATATAAAATCCAAAGCCAAATCTAGCATGTAGTAATAAGTATCATATGATGATAATCACATGCATGCAAAAGACTCAAATTCAACAACACAAAGATTTCATTTTGTTTGAGGGGAGGGTGGGGTCTTTTTTTATATTTTAACCTAGTGGTCATCAAGACAAACAACTGTCTCCTTTTCCCTTGTACATTTTTGTGGCCTTTGAAGATCAACAAATTGGGAATTGGATAATTAATATTATTTTTTTTAAAAAAAAATTTTGTGGTCATTTTCAAGTGGAAACTATTATAATGTGGTTCGAAAGTTACTTACAACTTAGGGTATAAATAATTAAATTAACCATGAGCTAGCTGTCATCATAATGATTCTTTTTCCCCAATAAAAAAAAGGGGGAATGTTCTGTGGTTCGACATGCCCCGATGGAAATGTCACTAATAGTAAGTATTCCAATCAAAAAAGCACACATATACTAGTATGAAGGAATCAAATCAAGATTAGCCACTCTGGTTTAATCCCTATCTTAAGCTAAAGGATTGAACTGCGCTTTTATCGATCTATAAACATGCTCTCACATTTAGCAATGATAGGTAGTATTGGCACCACTTTATAAATGATCATTGAATAATCATCAAGCCGATCTAGATGTTTCTTGTTGCACATGCAATTTTATAAATTGATTGGAGTTGGAAAGAGACATTTGTTTTTGAGATAAAATTCCCCTTCATTTTACGATAAAACTAGTCGACGAACATAGTTGATTAGTTATCAAGTAGATAACCTTTTATTTTGGGGTAGGTTTTAACTGAGATTTGCATCTCCGACTCATAGCTACCAATTGTTATGCTTTTTAAAATCTCACAATTTTTACCCCGTCAAAACACATACGTAATTTTATGTGATGAAATTCTCACAAACCCAAAAAAAGAAAAACAGAGAAAGAAAAAAAAAAAAGTGATTTGTTTCTGGCCAATGGAAAGGAATTAATTTCTTGGAGATAATAAAAAATCGAGAGGAGAGTTGTTATTCTCATGGAATGAGAAGTGGCATAATGGATAGCCCGCAAAACTGGGGAAAGAAATTTATGTGAAGCAGCTTAAGCTGTGTTTGTGTGTGTGTGCGTGGGGCGGTGGGCCCACCAGATGGGGGGTTGAGTTGGACCCGGGAGAGCTGGCATGGGTGGTGATACGCTATTGGCTGAGGAAGGAGGCCTTATCGATCACCACAGACAAAACCTTAATTCGATCTTTATATAGGAAATCCCCAAAACCCAAGTATAGGAAGTAGCTTTTCAACTGAAATTATGAAAATGAAGTAATGCATTTGGTCACGCCCCGGCATGGGTCCCCGAAAATTTCTCAACCATATTGGCTGCATCTAAATTATGTGCATTTTACATTTTTTCAAATATAAAAAAACGAGCAACTGCCATTATTGTTACAAATAGATAAGACCTCAAAACATACAATTGCATCATTGTTGTTTGGTTAAATCTCACACAAACATTTTTTTTTAATTAAATGGCCCTGATGAGAATCGAACCCTCGAACTCCCGGTAATAACCATCCCCCATCCTAATCCCATAACCATCACACACATCCCTCCCACCTCAATCTCCCAAAAACATTTAACTCTTATTGTAAGAGTAAGAAGACGAATGTACAAAGTGATTTAAAAAAATGGTTGAATGAGTGAATTGACACACATATGACATATAGATAACTCACAGTTTAACCTCACATATTCCTTGTGCTTTAAATATGTGTCTTTTGCAACAATGAAAGCTGTCTTTTGGTTTGCCTTCACAAAAGGGAAATGGAAACACCAAGAGGAAGGGCTGAGGGGTTCTATCCTTAAAATCTTATCAGCTCGAACCATAAAATTACTACTTTTGTCAACTTGCAGAAGCCCCAAAGAATAGGGAGAAAGAAAAGGACCTTTAATGAAGAAAAATAAAATAAAATAAAAAATTTAATCTTTGATGGAAAATTTTGCCATCAGGCTAAGGACACGTGAAACAACACGTAGCTTAATTGACTTTGGAGTGTTTAGCTTAGCCAATTGAATATCTGGCTTTAGGTTGTTTTGAATATAGTTCTGTCCTTTTTTACTACACAGTTGAAAGTTGACTTTCCCGCTGATCCAAATCTCCGCCCCCCAAAAAAATACGAGATAATGTAACATTATTATCTAGTGCCATTTTTGGCGTGGACAAAGTCCCAAAAAAAAACCTCATTTTCTAATTAGCCACAAATTTGTCATTTTTGCATGTGGAAGAAGAATAGAGAAAAAAAAAGGAAGGGGATAAAGGACAAATATCATGTCGCTCCCAGCTTAGATTGTTTTCATTTATGCAACAAAACAAACACCATATATATTATTTTGGGAGGGGAGAAAGTGTTAAAACTGTAAGATCGATGATGCGTATGAATAATGGTGCAAAGTATGAAGCACATAATAGAAACAAAAGTTTATACATAACGTCAAGGTACCGAGTTTAATTAGGTTTAGTGGAATACGTAGTGCTCTTTTTTTCAACTATTATTTTCCCCAAAAAACAAAAACAGAAATAAACGAGAAATACGTATTTGCTGACATACATTGCGTGCACGACCTTAGACCGCGGTAGACTTATTAAAAAAATTTAATAGAAAAAAAAAAGTAAAAAGGTGTGTTTGTTTGTTTGGTTTTTTTAATACGTGTTTTTAGGTGTATTTTTTTGTATTGAGAATGTAAAAAAGTGTATTAAAAATTTCAAAAGTTATGATGAGATGGAAAACACCATCAAGGAAAGGAAACAAACAACGTATTAAATTTTGCAGTAAAATTCCGGGGGACACCATCAGATTTTTGGTTGAATGCAAAATGAAAGATTTTATTGGGAGGGCATATTAATCATGAATGCTATAAGAGTCACATGGTACTAATTTGCTTTCACATTTTCCAACTTTTGGAAGGCTACACAACCCTGCAGTCTTATTTAATTTACTGCAAACCGAATGTCACGTGCAATTCAGGCCATGAAAAACCCTTTAATCATAATCAAAATTAAATTCTTTTAATTAAAAAAGGGGGGAAAAAAGAAAAGAAAAAAAAAAGCAGAGATCAAAAGAGCCAAAAGAAAAGAAACAGAGATAACCGTCAAAATCAGAGCAATCAAGTCCACAATAATTGGGGGGTGATTCATGTATGATTACAAGTACTCCAGTAATGATTTGGAGGAGGAGGAGGAATTCATTCAACAAAAGAGGAGAAATGATTAAAAGTAATTACCAGGAACTCAACAACGGCACTGATTAGGTAGATCACATAGGTAGTGCAGAAAGCATCCGATAAGAAGCCACCCAGAAGAGCCAGCAAGAAGGCTGTCCCCATATAATTCGTGACGGAATTCGCCGATTCCGATGGCGAAAAGTGCATATATCCGGCGAAATACCTCACCAGATTGCTCGCATTCGCCAAAAATGCCAAATTCTCCAACACTTCCACCACTGTATACCCAAATGCCCAAAACAAAAAGGGGAAAAAAAAAAAAAAAAAAGGTAAGAAACCTATTAAACCCCGATAGGACTATATATGATGCATGTACTGGTAATTTAGTGTACTACTTTGGTTTTGTATTTTCCGAGGTGGAGGAAATTAATGTTGCATGTGTAATAAGAGATTAAATTGGTTACCTAAGACAAAAGATGTGGCCTTCATCCCTCCATGGCGGCCTTTAACAGCTGGCTTTCCTCTCCAATTCACATAGCCTTCCCACGAGTCCGATTTCTGGCTTTCCATTTCCTGCAAACAACAAGACATATATATATAAACAATCATTCATTTGTTCGAAGACCAAATATGCTGCATATACGAAGAACCAAAAAACAAAAAAAAAAAGAACCCACCATTTTGTTCTTCTTAGGACTGGAGGTAAATTAAAACAAAAAGGCACTAGTGTTAATTGGTTGGATTTAATTGGGTTAATTTGGATCTCCGAGGATTTTTTTTTTTTTTTTTTTTTGTGTGTATATGGTTGGAAGACTGACTGAGGAGAGATCAAAGAGAGAAAAGGTGATCAAAAGGGGGGAGAGAGATATAAAGAGTAAAAGAAAGGAGGAAGAGGGTCCAACTGAGAGAAGAGAAGAGTTGTGTAGACCCTTTTGAAAAAGATTTGAGCCCCTTTGTACATGTTTTATACTGCTATTTCCCTCACTTTATTATTTTTCTTTTTTTATTCCTATAATTTTGTGTTCAGACCAAACCATATTTTTTGGGAGGTAGTTAAGTACGAAATTTTCAGGCTGGATAACAGGAAGTCAAGGATGTCACTGTGATCTGGATTTGGTCCATATTTTATTTAATTACCATCAATAATAATGACAGAGACAATGAATATATATTTAATCAATGAAATTGAACAATTAATGAGTTATTAACGTGCTAGTATATGTGAAAATGCATAATTACATCTCATTGTGTTAGTAATTACAAAAAATGTGACACGGTTAAATTATATATTTTCGCACACACTATCATAATTAAATTTTTGCCCAACTAGTGATAGCAAATGCATTTTAGCAGAAATGTGTGAAAAATAAAAAAGGAACACTTCATCAGAAGTAGTGTATATCTAAGATGTTTGACCAAGCATGCACCTTACAATTAATACGAAAGCATTCACACTAAACCAATTTATGGTTCATGCGTATGCAATTCGTAGTAAGAATTCAACATACAATCTCAAATCAAATTGAATTATTCTTCAGGACAGCTGATAATTTCCTGGAGTACCATCCCCTGCATTACTAAATACATTAGAAATATAATTCCAAAAAAAAAAAAATAATAATAAAGAGAAAAAAGAAAAAAAGAACTTATTCTTTTAATACTCGATGTTCAAATGGCTGAAAATATGATCCTCATCTTCCTTCAACTTGGTCATCACTCATCACTTATCCATGGGGACTACACGAATCCATCTCGTAGTTTATCATATAGCATCAATCACTTCTGTGATCCAAATTGTTTTTCGACTCATACGATATTAAATCTAATCTCCATTGTAAGTTAATACTCCTTTTGTCCCATAATTATTGTCCTGTTCGAAATTTTATTTCTAATTCAAGTTGTACTAAAAGTGAAATCTCAAATTGGATAATAATTTTGGGACAGAAGTAATACTTAGTTTTTGAAAATAATAGTAGTTTAGTGTAGCATTTTTATATATAGCGATCAGGATCACAACTTTTTATGAATTTTGTTTTGCTGGACGCTGGTACAATGAATCATTTTTTACGTAGGGTCCAGCCAACATTAGGTAGTAAAAGGCAAATTTTATTTTTACCATTCAGGTGAGGACAGTAGTAAAATAGTGAAGTGTGAAATGGGAAAGAAATGCACAATACCTTGGTGTTGAAGGCATAGAGAGATAGTGCAAAACGAAAAGAGGGGACATAACAAAGTGGAATCAAGTTTCTTTTCATCAAAGTCCTTTTAGATTATTACACACAAAAAAAAAAACAAAGAATCCCAAATTGCAAGTAAAGAAGTGGGCTTAACTCAATCAATCTGGGATTAGAAAGAAAGGCCTTTATTTTTATTTTTATTTTTTCGCCCAGCTTCCTAAAAGGAACGGTGATGGAAGACCGTAGTCGAGTCTCTCTCTCTTTTATTAAAGAACTTTTAAAAGACATCAAAACAAAATACTACCAAACATCCTCCACTCAACTAGTTGCAGTACTATAAGCAACAATTTTCAACCTTAATATTCACTTTGACAAGCCATTTATATACTGGTTATTAGCATCAAACGATACTTTCAAAACTCAGCTCAAGTTTTTCCCTTCACAAGAATAGTTGAATTTAATAATATCATCTGAATTTAAAAATTTTTGTGTACGTACGTGTTGAATCTTAAAAATTTTACTAATTTGAATTTATATGTATCGGACTCAATGGTATAGTCTCGCTGTAAAAATTTTGGGATACCGAAACATGATATACTTTTAGCGTATGATCGAAATATATTGTGGATATATTCTGGACTACAGCTTTAGAGGATAATAGAGTACTATGACCAGCTTCGAGAATCAGGAATCGATTCAAGGGGAATGATGAGTTTAATTAAACTAAGCTAAATTGGGGTAAATGATTTTCAATGATCATCCTTAATGTGGCTTCCAATTCAAAAAAGTTTTTCCCAAAAATGGCAAATTAAAATCAATAATTCACAATTGAAAACGAAATAGATTTTACTTTGCGACAAAAGCATCAAAACGTGGGGTTTTTTTTTTATCATATGGGTCCCTGATCCATCAGCAGTTATTCAGCACTAATTGACCTTTAATGCTAAATGATTTTTATTTTCAGTTAAGATCTTTTTCGAGAGACATTCATTATTGATTATTAGTATAAGTTAATTCGCTCCAGTTTACGAATTGTATAGTCATTACATCATTTAATTGACCAACTGCAGCTTACTAACTTGACACTTCACCAATCTATTTTTTCGTAATATGTAACATGATTTTCTAACCTCCCCTCCCCCCCCCCCCCAACCCCCCAAAATCATATAATATAGGAAAATTACATATAAGTCAATGGTTCATCTTGTAAGGAAGTTCATGTTATCACGGTACAAAATAAAATCCCATATAAAAAATCGAAAAGTGATATTTATAGAAAAAAAATTGACAAAAAAATTTATAAGGATTGATTTGTTTGAATTTTAACTATCTTTTAATCTTAAATGGATGTAGGTATAGTTATGAAAAGAAATACGCACAACTTTGTTATTTACGACGTCAGGTCATTATTAATAACGGTAAGGTGTTTTTATGATTGGTTTTGCTTGTTGTCAATCGTTGGGGGGTGATTTATAAAGAAGTTGACGATATATAGTTTTTAGTTAATTTTTTTTTTAAAAATATCTGCTACACACCTCTATAGATTTTGAGGTCCCTTCCGTTTCAAAGAACTGGCTAATACTAGTAATTTGCTCCACAAGTTTTCAGTAATGGAAAATATATTATAACTTTATTGGTAGGATGCTCTCATTGTTTTCTTTTTGAAACGAACTGTTGTCACCCTCACCCACGCTTAGCTAAACCTAAATGTCGACAAACCTGTTCAAAAAGAGTTGGCGTATGGCAACCACAAATTTTTAGTAATGACCAATTAATTTTATTATTGGATTAATATATTTTTTATATGAAAAATTCTATGATTCGGTCATAAGTTTTTGATTAAATTATTTAGTTAAAATCTATCCAATAAAAGTACAATATGTGACTACAATATGTGACTACGAGGTGTTCAACACCAAAACGAAACTTTAATAATTGTTGATTGGCTAATTAGATAAATTAGTGAATATTTTTTTAATTAATCTTCAAGGCTTTGTTTATTTTCTTATTAGTCCCCGGCTGAATTTATCTCCAATCAATGTTCTTGTTAGGAGAATGCCGATTTCCTTTCTTGCCTGCACTTTCATACCATTATTGTTTATTTTGACTTTTTTTTTTTAATTGTCAAATGAAAATCAATTTGCAAAATATTACTTCTAGAATTTCCACACCCTGACTCCTTCCTTATTCATTGTCACAACCTTAATATTACTTGATCTTATTAATTCTTGATCTATGTCTGTAGCTTTTTTTTTTTTTTTTTGTTACAATAGAGGAGGCCGAAGGCCTAGAGTCTTACATTTCGGGGTATGAGATCCCTATTATATCTATAGCTTATTAATTCCTTATCAATTTGCTTTATGTCTGTAGCTTATTAATATTACTTCGAAAAATCAATTTGCTCATCTTTCTATAGATTTCTCACGCCTTCTTTTCAAACACTTGATGAAACCCTGCCCTTTAATTGAACGGATGAATTGTTATTCTCTTCCATGATGCATCTGGATAACACTTCATCGGGATACTGATTAGGGATCCACAAAACACCCCCACTGCTTGCTCCCAAAAAGCCCTCACACAGTCGCACACTTTCGAAGGCTTACACCATGACTGCCAAGTTGAATAAGAGCATGAAGAGGGGTGACATCAGCGGCGGACATGGGTTCATCGGAAAGCACCGGAACCATCGTAACGGTGAAAGCATGCACCAGCAAAGAATCCTCTTCGACAAGTAGAATAAATATAGCAAAAAATTTTAAAAAACAAATAAGAAAAAAGTTGTGTTTATCTTTATTTGAATAATCGAATTTTGTTTTAATGGAACCATTCTAGAGAAGAAAAATAAAAGACAGGAAATTGTAACCATTGAAATGATTTTTCTTAGTAGGGAAAAAACCCTCGAAGAGCATGAGGTCGGGTAAAAACTTTGTTGTTTACTAAATAATTTTTTAGCCGCAAATAGCGGATGGATAATTTACTAGTGTATGTGCCATTATAAGTGTGGCGTGGTGTTTTTTAATTTTAAAACACCTAATTTTAATCTAATGGTTGTTATTAATCTTAATCATCTGACGACTATCAATGTTAACTGGACTATTAAGTTGACTGAACCATAGTCGCTCCCTTTTTATATATGTAACGATTTATGGCCACTTTTAGGTAGAGAAAGTCGAAAAAAAAATAAAAAAAAAATCGTGGATTCATTTCTATGAGGACACAACTGCTTTTCACCATTAAGAATTTGAACCCACTTTTGGCCAAATGCGAATGTAAAAAAGGCAGAAGAAAAGGCAGTGTAGTTTTTATTGACTTCACAGCCGCGATATGTAAAATGATGACAATAGATTTAGTTTAATCATCAATTAATTAAATAAATAAATAAAAAGAGAAAAAAATTTAAAATATGGAAATTGTTACATGTACGTACAAATATTTGTATTGATTTCAGTCATCTCAATTAAAACATTTGGATGACCCGAAAGCGAGTTTATGCGATACCAGTCTTTCGCTTTTTATGCGTCTGCACAAATCTTGAAAAAATTCACAACTTGTGGAAAGGGCAATAGTATGGTTTTGTAGGGTTTGTCGTGGAGGAAGCCGTCCAAAACTCCAATTCCCGAAAGGACAAATACTTGAAACTGAAGTTTCCATACGGATATATATTCCCACATTCGAAACTCCAAAATGAAATTCGATCGATGGAAGATTACAAAAAGTCGATACCATACTATAGAAACTTATTTTCGATG